CTATCGAACAACCAGATGGTACCATTGTTGGAAACAAGACTTAAATCAATACCTTTCAAGCGTTACAGAATCGTGTGACAAGAGTTTGAGAATAATTACTTAGATGCTCCATTCTTCAGAACTGATAGAGATTATATGTTTTCATTGTATGGCGAGTAATGGTTTTGCAAGAAACTCGTGAGGTAAATATTAATGAAGCATTAGAGACTATAATATATCATGTCAAACGTTATTATCGATTGACCATGGAGTTCATTTTGACCCAAGGTCTACACTGTTCAATATACAATGATTGAAAACAGTCAATTAACATTTAAAAAGAAGATACATTGTATAATGCTTTAAACGCAGCATTTGCTTATATATTAGGTCATGAACAAGTACAAAAGATGGTATTGCAATATACTTTAGATAAAGTTATGTTAAAGAAACCATTGACATTCACAGAAGATGGTCCAAAAGCACATGGTAATTGTTGGTGATGGAACATTATTGACGAAAGATACTTAGCAAGTCATGTCGAGAATTTTTCTCACTAATGATAGCATCAGTACAACACCAGAAGTTATTTTTTGAAGAAACCAATCACATTTGATGTTAAAGGAAAGACAAAAGCAACTGGTATAGCTGGCGTGGAGTTCTTCTGACTAAGGAATACTTGAAGAAAAATATCAATGACTTCGTTGAAATTGTCAAAGATAAAGAATCTGGTCTTAAGTTCAACCCTTTATCATTCATCTTTGCCATAGCAAACGCCGGTGCTACTGCAGCCTCATGGATATCACTCACAGAGTCCAAATAAATGCTCTTTGGGCTTTTTTTAAAGTCAAGAAGGTATAGATACTTGTTTCTTGAAACACTCTGGGTAATCTTGGTCCAAATCATAAAGGAGGTTTTTGTGATGGAATAAAAAATTTAGTTGAAAGACTAAAACAAGTTTTCCAGAAGATAACTCATATAGAAAGATTCAGAAAATGAAGGTTATATGGAACTTGAAGAGTTTTGATGTGACCTGACCTTTGGAACCAATTCTAATGGCACGTGATGCTAATGATAAAGAAGAGAAAGATCCTGGACCAAAAACATCATTTCTACGTTAAGTATTTTGTACCCTGATTTTGTGACCTTAGGAAAAGTTGCTAATCATCAAGAAAGAAAACTAATATTACTATGTCTGGTACTGATGACCTTACTGATTATCTTTATCTCAATTCTTGCTGAATTAGCGAAGAAAGTTGAGGAGAACAAAATAATGGAGGAAGAACTGCACTTAAGATTGCAGACAAAGCTTGACAAAAGTTATGTTGACGGAGATACGTAAAGTTGCATCTAAAGAATATCTTTTTATCACAGTCTGTCATACTTAAGACAACAAAGGTCCAGAGAAAGATATGTACCCAGGTGATGGTACAACAGTTAAAGTTAATGAAAGAGTTCCATTCCCGCATCTGGTATTGGATGCAAAAAGAAGTATATATTAATGGTGGTGAAAACATCAATACAACATTGTGTTCCTTTGAAAAATAATGAGTTCACTGAACCTTTGACAGTTAAATCAATTCGTTCAAGAGAAGACAAACCTGTTATAATCAATAAAATAGGAGCTGAATAATGACCAACCAGTTCAAATCAAGAAAATAAGAGCTGATGACATTATCTTGAACTATACTTTAGGCTCAAGTGCTCCACAAGAAGAATCCTCATATGAGTTTAACAAGAGACCTTGCAAAATTTGAATGGTACTTGCCTATAATATGTCTATGGTTTTTAACACTTTAAAGCACATGAGTTACCAGTTCTGTTAGACAACAAAGCAGACAAAAACTTATGTTAATGAACAGATCTCAAAGATCTTCTAATGCATCTGTAAACAATGGAATACCTGAAAGCATTACAGTTAGCTTTGGGTAATATGATATGGGTAAAGTTGCAATATTTATAAAATTATAACATTGGTCCATCAGAAAAAGGTCCAAGTTACTATACATTGAGTCATGGTAAATCTATTGAACTTTGTGTTCCACAAAAAAGATGGAACAACTTAACTATTCATCCTGGAGATACGTTTGAGTTTTATTTGAACGATGTCACCACAGTAGATTATACTTATAGACTTCTAACATGTTTGACATGAATGTATCCAATTGGTTTTCTAGATATATACCAGGTACCGAATGGTAATGTCTTCTCAAGCACCTTCTTTATGTATGACTAAAGCATTAATTCAGTAATATCTGAGAGTATATTCTTTATATTGAAGTACGCTAGAACTTATAACATTCATATGCATTTATGGAAACCAAATCAACTCATTCTTTTACTTACAATAAAAATGATGTATTGATCTACTCGACTGATACCTAATAATACGGGACAATTACAGTTGTCAACAGATCCTAACATGGGGGGCATCCAAGTAAGATAAAAGATGAGAGTAAAAGTGACCCCTCAGTACTATGGCGAACATTTATTGTTTGGTGATACGAAAAGAGATATTTTGTTCTTACAGTTAGAGCGAAGATGGAGAAGAAAAGGTGTGTACATTTAAGTCAGCTCTTTCATTTGATATGCAGGATACTATTGTATATCAAAACTACAAGAGATGTACAAAACAGTTTGAATTATTATAACAAGAAAAAAGCACATAATTAAACAGTTTCACTGAGTGGCTACGAATCAACTTATATTTACGTCAACAGGCGACAAAGGCCATAAAGTCTATTAAAAGATGCTTCACATAGAGCAAATCTTATTTTAGGTGCATATGGAATGTGAAACTACGTATTGTACATAATTTATTATCTACAAATGCCAAAAACCACCTATTGCTCACAACTTCGGGTATCAAGTTATATCCTTCGTTCATCAATGTCTGTCATCTCATGGTATCAATTATATTGACCAAGTTGATGATACGAAAGAAGATCTGTAACAGATACAATGTTTATAACAATCCAATGAGTTGTCTGGAATCTGGTAAAACCAATTATAATGAAGGGAATCCTCACCATGATTAGAAAAAAATGCATTTCCATGGGGAACAACCCTCTAATGTTACGTTTACCTTAGTTGACTTCCAAAGATCAGCCTGTTCGATTATGTCACCAATGTTTATGGTGATAGAGATTAAACCAAGATATAGCCAGAAGTTAGAAGAAACCAGATTTGAATGTCAGTGATGATGATACAGAATCTTCGTAACATTAATGAATTACGATGACGATTAAAAAAAAAACGTATATTATTTTTATCGGTTTATAAATGTTCTTTGTTCAGTACCTTTAAAGGACTTGTTAATAACTTCCCCAGATGTCAAGAGAGGTATGTTTGATATGTTTGGAGCCAAAACTGCCTAAGAAACGAAAAAGATATTACCAATAATAAATTAGCTCTGATCTAAAGGGAATCAATGGATAGTTACTTACAGGAAGTGCAGAAGAAGCTAATCAAGAATGCAAGGCTTCTATGAATGACTACAATGTGATCATGAGTGTTCCAAGCTTCAAGTTCCCCAGTTTCTTTAGATTCACGATCAGAGATCTCATAATAAGCGTTAATGAAGATCAACCAATATACTCAGACCCTCCCACCAAAGATTGATGAGAGCGAATTAGCATCAAAGAGATACAGGAGGAATTGCCTTTTACGTTGTTTAAGACATTAATGGTTCCCAAAAACTTCCTGATGAGAGAAATGGTAGACCGCAAAATAACTAAAGCAGGAGGAAAGATTCATTATGTTTAACATTGAACCAATTGACCAATACAGTCCAAGAGGAAAAGATTACTTCAACAAGATGTTTCCAAGAGTTATGGCAAAGTTCATTGGACAGATAGACCTTTTCAAACAGAAGTGGACATTCTATTACGACTTTGATGAGAAGAGAAACATTTTGCGTCATTTGAACATCAATACAATGGGATCATTAGTTCATCAGTTACTTAATGAAGCTCCAATAGCAGAAGTACAAGAATTAGCATCTAAAGTCCTTGAATCAAACTATGACTTCTTCCTTTGTAGTATTCCTTCGTTAAGGAAGATCGAGATCTTTGACTATACAGCTTATTCAGATGTTGATGCTTCTGCTTTGAGAAAAGGAACGTACACACCATATAAACTCACAGCTGAAGAACAAGTTATGTTAGATACGATGAGAGCAGCAGGTCAAGAAAAGATCGCACTCAAGATCATCAAACAAAACCATTCAAAGAAGAGAAACAGGTCACGTAATGGTCAGCTTTGGACATGGACATGCAAATTACCTATTAACTTAGAGAGGTATCAGATCTTCAACGAACTTAATGCAGAGACAGCAAAGAAGATGATGAAAGATTCATGTTTCATCTACGCTTGTATTCAAGCTGGTGTTGACGAAGCAACAATTAATCATATGAGGGAAATCATTCGTGTCAAAGATTTTCCAATGTCAAAGATTAAGGTTATTGCCAAAGAAACAGGAATAAGGTTCCATGTCATCAAATACAACGAGAAGTATTCAAATCATTCATATACTTATGAACCAGATGAAGAACCAAAGATGACAGTAGAACTTTTATTAATGTATGACCACTACATGTTGAACGAAAAGCTTCCAATAAGTTCAATGTTCATCAAGAACTATGAAGATGTTTGTAAGTTGTGCAAGGATTGGACTTTAGAGAAGAAGATGTTAGTTAACAGAAGATATGAAACAAGGTATGCAATTAACTCAAAGTTAGTTACACCACTTGCAAAAGTCATTGAACTCTTGTTTGCTAACAATTATTTCGAACCAATTAGAACAGGAGAACTTTGCACATACTTCACAACGATGTATAATGAGAACCTTGAAGAAATGATTGACCTCACATACAATGAGCGTTATTGCGCAAGGATGAAGAAAGATTGGAGTTCAGAGACGAAGAAAGACATGAAGTTCCCAAGAGAACATGTTTTCTTTGCTGACTTCGAAGCATCAACTGATGGAAACATTCACAAAGCATACAACATTTGTTTCATGGAAGATGACGATGATGGTTATACATCAATTTGGGGAAGTGACTGTGCGTCAAAATTCCTCGAAGCTTTACCAGATAAGAGTTTAGTTTATTTCCACAACTTATCGTACGATGTCACTTTTCTCATGTCTCAGTTAGAAGAGATTACAGGAACTCCAATCATCAAAGGTTCACAAACGATGCAGATACAAGGAAAGTACAAAGGAAAACTTCTCTGCTTCAAAGACTCTTATGCAATCATCTCAACTAAGTTGGAAAGATTCCCTGAAATGTTTCACCTCACTAGTGGTGAAAAAGAAGTTTTCCCATATAATTACTACACGGAAGAGTTAGTTAATACAACTAAAGTTGGTAACATCGATGATGCCATGAATCATGTCAAAGATATTGAAGCTTTTAATGAGAACATTGAGAAGATTGAAGATTGCAAGATTGATGATGAACACTTTGACATGGAAGTTTATTCGTCATTCTATTGCGGTCAAGATGTACGCATTTTACGAGATGGCTTTCTTAAGTTCCGCAATGACCTCATGACTGAGTTTGAAATAGATGCTTATGATTATGTTTCAATAAGTTCTATCTCAAACAAACTCTTTGAGAAGAGAGTATATTGGAAGAACGGTAATCTCTTTGATCTTGCAGGAAAACCTCGTGAATATATTTCCAAGTGTATTCAAGGAGGAAGATGCATGCTAGCTGAGAACAAGAAGCAATACAATGAAGGAGAACTCATCACTGACTTCGATGCTGTATCATTGTATCCATCAGCAATTGCTAGACTTTACTGTTTAGAAGGAATTCCAAAAGTTATGACAGAAGAGATGAAGAGCAGTGAATACTTGTTGGAGCATCTCTTTGATGATGACCAAGCTGAACCAACAAAGGAAAAGTTCATCTCAGGATTTTACTGTCAGATCGAGATCTTGTCGATCGGTAAGAACTCAGCATTCCCATTGATTGTCGTCAATCCTGACATCAACCCTGACTTACATGTTGCCAGAAGTTCCAATACATGCTGCAAGATGTTCGTAGACCACATTACGCTTCAAGATCTGATCAAGTTCCAAGAGATCTCATGCAAAGTCATTGATGGATACTATTATGATGGAAAAAGGGACATGACAATAAGGAATGAAGTTAAGAAGCTCTTCGAATTACGTGCTAAGTATAAGAAGGAAGGTAATCCGATACAAGAGATCATCAAACTTCTTTTGAACAGTATCTATGGTAAGACGATATTAAAGCCCATTGACAAAAAGATTCGTTTCATCAAGGACAATAAGCTCACTGACTATATCATTAAGAACTATAATGACATACAGACAATAGAGTTCATCCCCGATTCCGAACTTTCATGTGTAAAGTCATTTAAACCTATCGTTCGTCACTTTAACTATTGTCCATTAGGTGTTTCAATCCTTTCTATGTCCAAACGAATCATGAATGAAGTATTCTTCACAGCAGAAGATTTGGGCTTGAAGTTGTTCTATCAGGATACAGATAGTTTACACTTGTATGAGAAGGACTTAGATAAGTTAGCAGAAGAATACAAGAGAAGGTATAACAGAGAACTCATTGGAAAAGCACTGGGTCAATTTCATTCAGACTTTGCAGAGATTACTGCAGGACATATGTCTAAGGCACAAAGATCTATATTCGTTGGAAAGAAGACTTACCTCGACGAATTAACCAATGACCTCAAGGAAATTGCTTTCCACTGTCGAATGAAGGGAATCACACAGGACGTAATTGCACTTACTGCAAACCAAATGTTCCCAGATGCGATACAAGTACATTATGACGAGAAGAAAGGTTTGTTCTTCCCTGAGAAAGTTGGGGAAAAATATAGCATCGTGGAATTGTACAAATCTCTTTATGAAGGTGATGAGATAACCTTTGACTTGTGCATTGGTTCGAAACCATGCTTCAACAAAAATAAGGACTTCACTATTTCAACGAAGTCATCTTTTGAACGTAAGTTAAAGTTCTAAACACTTACTTATTATTTTTCTTAGCTTCTTCCTCTTCTCTCAATTTCTTTGCAATCATTCGTGGATTCTTTGCGCGTCCAGCTGCTAATGCAGCTAATTGTTTCTCTGTGAGTTTACGCTTTGGTTTAGCTGGTTTCTCTTCTTGTGTTTGTTCTTTTGGTTTGAGTTCATTAAGTATTTCTTCACGAAGTTCATTCTTGAGTGCTTCTCTGTCGAAAGTATTCTCAGTCATTTTGTTAGGAGTAAAAAATTTTATTAGGATAGAAATGACGTCAAAACTTTCACCAAGTGAAAAGCAATCAATCATATTGAATGAAGCTAAAGGAATACAACATCCATTATATTATGTTTGTCATATGAAGAATGGTTCAGTTCAAGTTAGAAAGAGAAAGGCACCATTGAATTCACCAGCTCCTGCCCCAGCTCCTGTTGTTCAAGAAGCTCCTAAAGTTGATGAGAAGAAAGAAGAAGAACAAGCATATACTAATAAAATGTTGTTAGAGATGATGACAAAGATATTAGAACGTAACAGTGTAGTTAATGAACCAAACATGGACCCAATTGAACGTGAGAAGGAAACTAAAGAGAATCAAGAATATGTTCAATCAATGGAAGAGAAAAGAATACACTTCGATGATGAACCAGAGCCTGAACCAGAACCTCCTAAACCTCAGCCACAAATAAGACGAATAATCCCAAGAATAAGAAGATTGTAAATTTTTTATAGCTGAGAAAGATGTTGAACGATAACCTCAATACATACAGTATTGCTGATTCCATCAGACAAGTAAGATATTATTTCGATCAAGTTGATGGGGCAGTTCCTATTGGAGATACTAACCATAGATATGTCCCAACAAAAGTGCCAGCTATGCCGACAAATACTATTGATAACGGTTATATTACATTTAACATATCACCACCTGGTGAGAACATGATTGACTTATATAATACGTTCATTAGTGGTTATGTCGATGGTGAGTGCATAATTACAACAGAAACTGAACCAGCTGATGAAAAAGTTCCTAAATATGATGGTGAAGTATATAAAGAAAGAGCTGTTGAGACAGCTCCTACAGGATCAAATGTTACAGCAATTAAAGCAATTGATACTAAATATGCTGGTGGCAAATCATGTGCACATCTTCCAGCAATTTGGTTGGGATACATTGATTCATTCTATGCTGTTGAATCATATCAATTAATCGCTAATGGTAAAAGTGTTTATACACAAGATAATGCTAGAGAAGAAGGTTACATTACTTCTACTGCATCTACAACAGAAGCTATTAAGAAAGTTGATGTATTTAGTAAGGCTAGACATAAAGATGTTTTCAATAGATGTGATACAGTTCGTTCTGGACAGATTATTGAGTTCAATAAACCAATTAGTGGTGCAACTACATTAAAGTTCCACATACCAATCAAGATTGACCTAAGAAGATTCCTAATACTTAATAACATTAGATTCCTTCCAGCGTTTGCTGGTAACTTACAACTTAAGGTTAAGTTCAGTATTGCTGGTATGGTTTGGACACCATTAAGTTATCAGGATATTCTACCATTACCGAACATGCAAGCCAATGTTACAAGCTATATTCCAATCACTAATCACTTCACTCCTATCTATGAAGGTATCAAAGTTATTGATACTGTAACTTGGAATGCCGATAAGAGTACGATATCATTTGGTACCAAGTTTATTAAGTTCACTAAGAAGAATGCAAACTTCTTTGAAATGATTACATACTGTAACTCATTCTCTTTGGACCCTAACATCTATAGTGATTTGGTGACAAGATATTCGGCAAAGACTCTAAACTTCCCAATCAAAAGAATTGACTGCATTACTATGGATGGTTCAATGGCTAAAGGTGAAGGAACTCCTTGTACATTCACGGCAGCATTTACTCCATTATATGTGAACACCATTTATACACTATTTAAGAAAACACCTAATTATAACACTACCTATGAAAATCCATTGTTTGAACAAATTCAATTGAACTGTGGAGCATATGGTAACATACCCGCTGAGGCTCAAGCATCTAATGATCCAATCTTCTATGAGATGCAGGCAAATGCCACTAACAATAATAACGATACTGTTGGCTTCAACTATGATGTCATGAGGTCTATCACAACCACATCAGTCCCTCAATTTGGAATCGAGTCAAATGACTTAGGTCATTACCTATGTGGATTCCCTTGCGAAACTGATTATACATTCCAACAGGGTCAGTTATCTAATTCACCTATTACATATAAGCTTACAGTTAAGCCAACAGCAGAGTCTATTAAATATACTGAGAAACCAGTGTTATGCTTCTTACGTCACGTTTGCCTCTCCATACAGATTAAACAGGTGGGACCACCTATCGTACTTCTCGACGATTATGATTTATCAGCCCCTGCTAGTGAATAAAGGTTAGTTTACATATGAACGTTTATTTTTACACATATATGCGTACATATGCGCGCCCGTATGGTGTCAGTTTTCTGTCACTTTTTTCATTGTGTCGGTGACTGTAGCTGTAGGCTTACAGGCGACGCACAATGTATACTGTACTGTTTTTAAGAGAGAATTTTGATAAATAATTGGATTTGTAACTTTTAGATGGTTGAAATGATGTTTTGGAAAAATATCAAGTATTATCAATATTTGTGTGATAGTGTGTTTCAGATCTGCTAGATTTATATCGACAGTTATTCATATAATTTTCTTCATCGTGTTTATAAATCACAGAAGATACAGTAGAAATGGATTCAAAATTTTAATGAAATCATATAGCATTTTTCATATAGAAAACCTTATTAATGATCATATATTAATTATGAAAGCATGTGTTCATGTAATTTGATTGAATATTGGCTTAATTTGTATGAGATAGATTGCAATTGCGTCAACAGATAAGATATATGAATTAATTATAAAATAATACGCATACTCTTATATATGCGATCATGAACATCATTATGAAATTTATCAATTCCAATACTTTGACTTTCATTAAAAAGTAAAAAAAAATTAAAAATTAAAAAAATACTATTATTTTTCATGCAAATCATAAATTTTGGTAAAATTGAAAATCAGCAACATGTTTTATAATTGCAATAAATGTTCATGTCTACAAATTCACATATTTAAATTATGAATAAATCCAAAAAATAATTATTTCATGATTTTTTATGGGTTTCATGCTATTATTATCAATATTTTTCTTGAAAGGATAAATAAGAATGCAGTTTGCTATATTAAAACATTTTTGGAAGTTATTGATATCGGTGCGAATGCACCAATAACTATTTTGTCAATGACAAGAAAAATTGATCTTCATAACATACCTGCAAATACAGTTATTAAAGTCACAGGTGTCGGAAAACATACTTCTCCAGAGTTTATCGGGAATGCGTTTTCAACATTTGGAAAAATTGTTTATGTTCACATTCCGAAATTAGATAGTGAAAGGATCAAACCATATGCATACATTGCATTTGCAACTCCTGCTGCAGCACAAAATGCACTTGATAATGGCAAGAAAATATCTTTACTCGGCAACGAATTTGTTTCACATCCATTTTCTCTTGATGAATTTCAACGAAATGATTTAAATTCGACATTTGATGTCAAAAAGTTCGTTATACGAGACAGAGATGCTGAATATTCGAATGAAAAGTTGTTTCACCAAAACATATCGGAGCTTGCTATGCAGAGAGGCCAGATAGAGCCGACCCACTTAATGAGCATGAATTCGACTTTGATGTTGAATTAGCAAGAAAGTCAATTGTTATGGAACGTGTTTATCATATTTACAATTTCGGTTTCGGCATCATCAATAAAGAGGATGGAATACCTGAGAACATATTACCAAAAGTTCCTTAATGTTTTAACATAGATTATTCAAGTTCTTTTCATAATATATTATTAATTGTTTATTATCAATCAATACTCATGAATAAATATCTAATTCATGTATGTTATCTTCATATACTAACTGTATTTATGAAATCATAAAAATTTAAATTTGAAATCTTTATGATTTTGGATTAAAATAAAATAACATGACTCCAAAATACAATGTACAGAGTTTTTTATTGGATGGAAATCTAATCGTGTGATTTATACACGATTAGGGTAATTCATGGTAGAAAATTTCAAGTAATCGGAATAACCGAAAATCCACTTCTCAAAAATAAACCAATACAATTTAATTTTATATCTCACAGATTGTTTAATTTTTCATATTTCAGTGAATTTTTTTTGTGAGATGCATGGTCACTTTAGATTTTAGATGTCTGTGACCGCCAAAGCACAGCGTAAGGAGAAAGTCATCAAGGAGGCTGTCTCAAAGGCCCCACAAAAGATGAAAAAGACAGCAGCAAAGCAAGAAGTTATTCCAAAATCAAAGGATGGTCATAAACCAGATACAACACAGTTTGATTCCGAATACAACCCAATGAAGGTCGAGAATGCCTGGTATTCATGGTGGGAAAACCAGAACTTCTTTGAACCAAAAGCTGCCGACAAGAAGTTTGTTATGATTCTTCTCCACCAAACGTTACAGGAGAACTTCACCTTGGTCACGCCCTCACAGCATCCATTGAAGATGCTATCACCCGCTATCACAGAATGTGCGGCGAAGAATCCCTTTGGGTTCCAGGCACAGATCATGCAGGCATTGCCACACAGTTCCGTGTCGAAAAGAAGATCTACGATGAGAAGAAGCTCCACCGTGGCGAATACAGCCGCGAGTACTTCCTTGAAGAAGCTCACAAGTGGGTTGAATCCAAATCCGGCACAATTCTCTCCCAGCTTCGTGACATGGGCTCATCCCTTGCATGGAAGGACACATACTACACACTCGATGAGAAAGCGCAGTGAATCAGTTATTGCTGCTTTCATCAAACTCTTTGATGAAAGTTTGATTTATAGAAGTGAGCGCCTTGTCAACTGGGATTGCGCCCTCAAGACAGCCATTTCCGATGCAGAAGTCGAATACATCACACTTACAAAGCGTACAAAATTAAATGTTCCAAACCACAAATACCCACAATATCCATTCGGCGTAATGACACACTTCTACTACGAAATCTGCGACAAGGATGGAAAGAAGACTGGCGAAAAGGTCGAAATCGCTACAACACGTCTCGAGACAATGCTCGGTGATACAGCTGTTGCAATCAATCCAAAGGACGCTCGTTACAACCATCTCCACGGAATGTATGTCTGGCATCCAATCCGTGAAGTTCCAATTCCAATCATCCAAGATGAGATCCTTGTCGATATGAACTTCGGTACAGGTGTTGTCAAAGTCACACCAGGCCACGATCCAAACGATTACGAAGTTTACAAGCGCCATCCAGAGATTGGATTAATCTCAATCTTGACACCAGACGGCGCCATTGCTCCAGGCTACGGCCAGTTCTCCGGCATGATGCGTTTCGATGCTCGTGTTGAGATGGTCAAGTGGATGAAGGAGCGCGGCCTCTACAAGGAAGAGAAGGACCACGAAATGAGATTAGGTATCACACAGCGCGGCCACGACATTGTTGAACAAGTCATCACACCACAGTGGTTTGTCAACACAACAGACATGGCTGCCAGAGCCATCAAAGCAGTCGATGACGGCGAGTTGAAGATTGTTCCAGACGAATTCGTTGTTGACTGGAAGAAGTGGCACGAAAACATCCGTCCATGGTGCATTTCCAGACAGTTGATGTGGGGACACAGAATTCCAGCCTACAGAGTCCAAATCGACGGAAAGTGGGCAGAAGGAAATGGAGAGTGGGTTGCTGCAGCATCACAAGAAGAAGCAATCGCTAAAGGTGCAAAGGCAAACAACGTAGTACCATCAAGAGTCACTGTTGAACAAGATCCAGATGTTCTTGATACATGGTTCTCATCTGCTTTACTTCCATTCTCCGGTGTCGGCTGGCCAAGCAACGAAGAACGCCTCAACAGATACTTCCCGAACTCAATTCTCGAAACAGGCTGGGATATCTTAACATTCTGGGTATCAAGAATGGTCATGATGTCATTGACATTGACAAACAAAGTTCCGTTCCACACAATTCTTCTTCACCCACTCGTTAGAGATGCACAGGGCAGAAAGATGTCAAAGTCTCTCGGAAACGTCATTGATCCACGCCACGTCATCAACGGTATCGAATTGGAAGATTTAGTTGCTGAAATCGAGAATTCCACATTCGATGACAAAGAAAAGAAGATCGCAATCGACGGCAGAAAGGCTGACTTCCCTAACGGCATCCCACAGTGCGGCACTGATGCCATGCGTCTCGCTCTCTGCTCATTTGCAGGCGCAAACAGAACAGCCAACCTCAATGTTTCTGTCATTGTTTCATACAGAAACTTCTGCAACAAGATGTGGAACGCTGTTCGTTTCGCATTGCCAAACTTCGACAAGTTCAACCCAGAAGATTCCCACAAGGACCTCGATGCATCAAAGACAACACCATTGGACAAGTGGGCACTCAAGAAGTTGTCTCTCGCAATCAAGGCAGCAACAGCTGGTCTCGAGGACTTCAAGATGGCTGACGCTGTTAATGGAATGACACACTTCTTCCACGACGAGTTCTGCTCTGTCTACTTGGAAGGCACCAAGCCAATCGTTAACGGCGATGATGCAGCAGCCAAGGAAGTTGTCGCAGCTGTATTGTACGAGTGCATTGAGTCAACAATGAGAATGCTCCATCCATTCATGCCATACGTCACTGAAGAGTTGTGGCAGCACTTACCAAGAAGATTCAACGTCGAATCAATCATGTTGGCTCCTTATCCATTAGTTAACGAGGAGTGGCTCAACTACGATGTCTCCATTGTTGACACTGCTTTCGCTACAGCTTCTGCTGCTAGATCTATCAAGAAGCAGTACAACATCAACAACAATAACTTGGAGGCAATCATCGTTACTTCTCAGGATGAAATCAAGCCAACAATTCCATTCATCTCAGCTATTGGCGGACTTGGAAAGGTCGACGTTGTTGCTCCAGGAACACAGATCGCTGCTGGTTACGCTTCCTCTGTTGTTACAGAGACAGTTGAGCTGAGAATCAACTTGAAGGGTGTCGTAGATTTCGAGAAGGAACTCGAGAGATTGGAGAAGAAGTTAGGCCCATTACAACAACAGTTCCAGAAATACGAAGAAAAGATTTCTAATCCTAACTACGCTACAAAGGTTAAACCAGAAGTCCAGGAACTCGAGAGATCTAAGATGGAAGCACTAAAGGTTCAGATCGAAGCTATCAACAAGAACATCCAGGAAGTTAAGCAGTTAATCGCTTAATTTTAATAATTTTATTATTACAATGTGAATAAAAATAATCTTTTCATTTAATACTTAAGCTCGTTTTTACACCATGAGTCTTAATCTGGAGATATTTTTTAGATTTTGAAACGGTGAAATGATAGAGTATGATCAATGTGAGCTATATTTACGTTTATTCATAAATATATCAATTCTATCATAGAGAAAAAGTACATTTAAAGTATAAAAAATTGAATAGTTTCTATTTCAATCTTTCCTATATAAAACAGGAAGCTTGAAATATCTTTAATCTTGTCGACCTCTTTTACAATCTTGGCAAGAGATAAATATGACTTTGTATAGCGATTATTATATGGAATAGAGTCGCATAAAATATTATTGTGGATTTTTCTTAATTCACTGTATTTATATGGATGAATGTCTTCATCAGACACGAAATATTTTAAAAATCATATATTTGCACTTTTCCATAAATCTTTGAAATTCATTACACAAGTAGATAACAATGGATACAAAGATTTCTGATAATTTTAGGAGAAATACTGAATTACATTGGTTACAGGTATGAACAGTTAAGTTAAGCTATTGAAATATTAAAATGAGGCTGATTTTTACCGCAACACTCATTTTTATTAATAAAAAATTGATACACATTATAAATGTATTTTATTTTATAGATTTTAAAGTCTCTAACACAATGAGATGAATTTCAAAACGTATGGATGCGCCAAGTGCGCTTCCTTTTCAAGTAATATATGCGACAAGTGAAATAGATTCTAATCCAGCCTCAAATCTTATGGATACGTCTCCATTTGCAAATGGTTGGATTACGCTTCCGAACGCATCTTATCCACAAGAAGTAATATTAGACTTTGGATCCCAAGTTGCTTTAACAGAAATGAAATTTATCAGTCATCAAAGTAAAATTGCATCAAGTATAGATCTTCTTTCCGGAGGAGATAAAGCAAATTGGAGAAAAGTACAGTTTGAACAAATAGATTCATTTAAATTCACTGATAATCGCGCCAACAACTACAAAGCAAGAGAAATTCGTGTTGCTCACCCTAATATGCTTCATCTTCGATACATAAAGATAAAAATAAACGGATGTTATCAAAATCACTTAAATAAATCTAATCAAGTAGGCTTAATATCCTTTTCTGCAAGAGGCTATGGCGAAGAAAATCCATTTGAAGATGAACAATTACTAAATCTTGAAAGAGCCAAACAAGAAGCAATTGAAAGAGAAGATTTCGATCGAGCCAAAGCTATCAAAGCAAGGATAGACATTATTCGTGATAATAGAGCTTTCTTACAAGATTTGAAACAAAGAAAGATCGAAGCCATCAGAAATGAAGACTTTGATTTAGCCAAACAGCTTAAAATACAAGAAGAGAACATACTTGCAGGAAATGATGACCAAAACTTCAACGATTTCAATGAACCTCCTCCAAAACCTCATCCAAGGCGTAAATCATCATTAGATCCAGATGTCAGCCAATTCTCTCAACAACAATATAACCCGCCGCCACAAAATTATCCCGTTTATCTACAAGAACCAGAAGCATCTGAAGTTCCATATCAATCAGAGCGTTTTGATGATACAGAATCACGCGCCGAGCCACAAGAACGCCCAATACGCCCAATGAAGACAGATTTATACACTGGAGACCATCGCCCGATGAATTTCGGACACAATCAGTGGGATAATATACCTCCAGGCGAAGAATACGACAGACCAATCAAATCCCAACCATCAGCGCCACCTCTTGATGATGACGGCGAACATCTCGATGCTTTAGATCCAAATCAGCGCGCCGAAGCAGATATCGTCATCAAAGTTTGCGGAGAAGAAGCTGCCCAGCAGTTCTACTCTAAGAATACAGATCTCCGTCAAGCAGGTATCAAAGCTATTGCACAATCAATCCGCAAATTGAGGGGCGGAAGTGCAATTCAAGCCTACGAAAAGTTTTTATCAATGCTGAAGCCATGTGTCAAAGATAACTCACAAGGAGTCTTCGTGAAGAGTGTTGACGAGATCATGAAGCTCACAGACAAACTTAAGCCACCACCAGATGTCGTGAGATCTTCAATTGAAGCCCACAAACACGCGATCTTCGCAAAACTCGGCAACAAAAGGATGATGCAACCTGCTGTTGAATTCTTCACTTGGGCTGCAGGGAACTCTGCATTAGGAGTTCAATTCGTTGCTCCTGTTGTCATGGCACCTTTGAAACAACCTGTACAGTGGACAGCAGTGATTCCAAGACTTGACATCATTCAGACATTGATTAAAAGATTCGGAGGAGAAGAAGGAGTCTTGGATACAAGTCAAATCATCGCTTTCGTGATGCTTTTGCTTGATGCTCCAAAAGCAGACGTCAGACAGAAGGCCATGTCTGTTTTGGAGATGCTAAATGAGGCTGGATTGAAATCACAGGTGATAAAGATGATTCAAGCAGCAAATCTTCCAAATGGAAAGAAGATTATTGACCAATTGGAAGCCAGATAACTTTTTAATACTATATTTATTAATATTTTTTTTGTTTTATAAACTTTTAAATATTTTCGATCTTATCAGTACACATACACCCATCTGACACAACCTTCAATTCAGTTATTTAATGGTACACTTACACCCCTATGACATGGTTTTCAATTCATATGTTTAATGTTAATTTTCAATTATGCTTGCCGTCAGTTGTCAAAAATTTGAATTAAAGTCAGATGGGCGTAAGTGCAGCCTTAAGATTAAACTTCAATAACAAATTATAAAGGTTGTCAGGATTTTTGAATTAAAGATTTTTGCAAATTATCAATTTTGTATACTTTTTTTACGGGCGCTTTAGCGCCCAAAAAGTATATAAAATTGGAATTATCTTGATTATGATTATTATTTGCTTCTAATGCCGAACAGCATTTGAATCAAAAATAATCGAAGTATAGTTAATTTACTTTTAAAATATGAAAAAAGAAAAACATTTCTCAATTATGTTGCATTGAACAAAAACTTTGAGAAAACATTGTTGAAAGTTTGTAATGATAAAAGAGAAAGAGAATTTCATAAAACAATGTCAAATATGAAAAGAAAGAGAATAAGGATCATGTTAACATCAGCACCATGCTCAACTAAGAATTGGACAATTTCCATTGAATTCTCTTTGATGGCAATACTAAGAGGGCATTCATGAAGAGAAAGAGGATTTTTTAAAACAATGATTAATATGAGGAGAAAGAGAATTTCATAAAACAATGTTAAATATGAAAAGAAAGAAATTATAAATTTTGTTGATATCTTCTCCATTAGTAAGTAAATAAGATGCAATATGATAATTTCCGAAATGCATACTTTCTGCTATTGAATCAAATGTTTGACCTAAATTTGATTGAAGGTACTCAGCAATTTCATAGTTTCGATAATCCAATGCTGTATTAATCATGTTATCAAATGATTTACCTTCTTCTATCATTTGCATAAAAATGATTTTATTTCCGCCTTGAACAGCGTATTTTTCGGAGTATTTAGCGTATTTAGCTCCTAAATTTTTCAAGTAATTGAAACACAATTCTGAGCCATATTTAATTGAACAATCAAGTGGTGTGATATTCTTAATCTCCCGATTAATATCAAGATTTGGGAATTTACTTTTAAGATCATTAACTTTATCCCATTCAATATAGTATAAAGGAGATTCTGTTGAATATAAATTAAGAATTTCTTTTTCTTTCATTTTGGGGTAGAAGTTTTCAAATTTGAGACCTTTATAATGCAAAAGAGTCGCTAAATTCTCATTTTTCGGCTGGATGATGCATGAAAATTCGTTTGTTATCTTTAGATAAAGTTCTGAAAATAATTTAATTTCTTTAACTCGAATTTGTGAAAAAATATCAATCAAATGAAGTACCATTTTGATAGATATTTTGCAAGTTGTAATTAATTCGATAATTTGTGAAGATATCTGTAAAATATTATTTGAATTGACGCCCCAAATAATTTTTGATGCTTGATCTGGGTATTCGAATGCTTTAATGGGCTTAAGGTCATTGTAATTACACCCATCTTTATTTTTTGGTTGCTCTGAACTTGACATGTCAAGCTTTTTAAAATTTTTATCGGTGGCACTTTTTCGGTTAAAAATTCAATATCTCACTTTTGGTGACAAAATGAAATGCCTTTGAATTTTCTTTTTTAATTCAGTATTCATAGTAACGTCGGAAAAATAACTCCGTAGCATAAATTTAAAATTTTGTGAAGTCCGAATTTGAGCAAAGCTCAAATTCGGACTTCACAAAATTTTCATTATATGAATGTCAACAAATGAGCGAAAAAATTTTGTGACGTACGATTATTTTCTTTTCAAAAAAATTGAATCAACAGAAAAGCAAATGAGGGCCTAGGTTCCATCTCCATATAACCCGCTCGCAACATTTACGGTTGATCCAGTCACATCCATTTCAATCCTTAAATGAATCCATGTATCCCCTATGATTTCCTAACGCCAAATTCAAATTCTGAATTCTCATATCCTTTCAGAATTCCTTGATATTTCAAGCTGAAACCAAGCTTACAATCAGCTATTTATGTAGCTTACTCAAAATTCCTTTAGAATAAAGATTTATGTGTAAAAAAATTCAATTTTTTTGAAAAAGAAAATAATCGTATGTCACAAAATTTTTCATTGGTGATGTTCATATAATTTAACTTTTAGAACCCGTATTTTTCAATAAAACTGGGTTAATTTTGATAGCAATACTACTCTACTTCTGTTTATATGCATACAGCCGTGATGATACATGAAAATTCCAAACCTAAATTCTTAATTTCAAAATAATCATCAAAGCTCAAGTTTGTATAATAAGCGTAGATATTACATGCTTATCCAATATTCTCTTCATACACATAAAACGTTTTGGTTAACTCGGCAAATTGAAGTTAATAAGAATCTAATTTTTGAGATATCGTTGGTAAAATCACCCCAAATTTCACCAGTGTGGAGCTCATCTGATATAGAGCAAATTCTATTTCAAAAGTTTGCTCATTTGTATTCAAAAATTCCTCTGCTACAAGTTAAAATTCCCACTTTTGGGTTATTTTTTCGACGTTATATAAGTATTTTTAATGCATAACTGGTTTGCAAAAAATTCATTGTCCTCCACTAGAATATATATCAAGTTTTGGCTCGAATGTGTTGAATATTTCTCATAAAACTACTTACTAGGCAACACTTAAGCTGTTGTCAACCGTAATATCAGCATAGGTAATATTACATCTCAAATCATACTCTTTAAATAGTTTCTATATTTTTCAACAAAAAATCAGTTGAAAGATGTTAAGTTTTTGATTTAAATCTTGTGAAATATATTGGAAATATCTAAAAAGTACTAATTTTAGTAAATACAATTAGCATTTATTAAAAAATATTAAAACATATTTTATTAATCAGATCTCTTCAAGAAAGGTGAAGTTTGAACTTCGAAATTCGTTTCATCTTTCAATGTAATCTTGTGGAAATCGCCATCAAGCGATGTGACTCCGATAACATCGTTTTTTATCCAGCAAATTCTTGGCATCGTAACAGAAGGTAATTTAACCTTTATAACAGGTTGTTGAAGAACGTTTGCACCTCTAGAATTCTTTCTGATATCGAAAACTCTTACTTCTGCGTCTTTAGAGCAAGTTGCAATGTAATATTCGTTTGGTGAGAAATCGATTGATTGTATGATGTCGCCTGGATTGCCACGCTCAAGTGTTGCAATGCAGTTTAGCATTTTGGCGTCAAAAATGTAAATTTTTTCACCGCCAAAAGTAGCGATTGCAAATAAAGTTCCATTTCTATTATATGCAGAAAGAGAAATGGAAACGCCTTTTTCTTCCACGCCGCAATTGCGTTTTGCGAGATTCTTTTCGCGGATATTGTTACAAAGCCAAATCTTTTTATCATCTTGTCCGCTGCAGATGATAGACTTGGAATCAGGGGCAATGCAAAGAGGGCAGTGGACATTTAATCCAATATCCAAAGCAGAGAATAATTCTTTTGTATTTGTGTTCCAAATCTCGATACGACAGTGCATATTGATTACAACTAAGCCATCTCCGAGTTTCATTGTAAGGATATGCTCATTGAATTGATGTTCGAATTTAATTTGTCCGGTAGAGTGATCAAAAATCTTAATGCATTTGCTGTTAAAATCTGGTGGTGATGGAGATCCTGTTATAGCAAGGAATCTATATCCATCATATGTAGCTACGTTTCCTAAAGAGTATTCTTCCATTTCGCGACCAAGAATCATTCCGAAAGGATCACATCTGAAAACTCTGTATTGCGATGGTAGAACAATTGTAAATGTTTCATGATCATCATTAAAACACAATGATCTTATTGGTGAAATCATAGAAATAAAAAAAAAATTGAGAAAAAAAAATTAAAAAAAGTGCTACTAGGGTTAAAAGTGACAAAGATTTTACAATAAAAAGAAAAAAGTTTTTGAAAAAAAGTGCTACTAGGGTTAAAAGTAACAAAGATTTTACAATAAAAAGAAAAAAAAATTTATTCAAAAAGATGCATCCATCCTCGTTTGCAACTCGCCATGTTACGGTGGTTTCAAACTTGTTTTTGGATGGCACAATCTTTTCAAAGAACTTCATGCTACTTTATTTTAATAGATACAGATGCCACAGAATAAAATTCAATCAATACTTACGGACATTGATATTTTCATATCTATGTTACCAGTTACTTTGCATCGGTCTTCAACCCTGGAACCTTGTTTTCTGGCAAAGATCATCGCAAATGTATCATGCCGTTTCTGCAATGAGTTCTTTAGCTTTAATACGTACAGTTCCTTTTGATTTTGGTTCAATTAATGGAGAAAGTGCAATATTCTTAGCGTTATATCTACTAGAAATTGTAATTCTTTTTATTTGTTTAGTTTATTTCGCAAAACAGCGGCGAATACCTCTATACTTACTCATAACTTCAAAGTATCTTGAGGTTGTATGCTACGCTGCTCTTTATCCAGGTATTTGCTCTTATTTAGGCTCATCAATAAAAGATTCAAGCAAATTGATATCTCTCACGTATCTGTTCATATTCTTCTTAATTGTCCTAAGAATGCAAATAATCTACACAATTATCCAAAATACATTAAACGCAAGCGAACAATTTTTCTTTACGACATATTATTCGGTGTCATTGAGATTAGTCTCTGCCATTAGCATCATATCATTTGGATTCAATGCAGTATCAAACCGTTTGATTGAAAAAGGCATTCCTTCCTTCTTTATTTTATTAATTTTCGCATATCTATTTTACAAAGAAGTAACGCGTATTAATTGGACATTTTCTTACCAACAAGTCATTATACAGACTATTTTATTCACTTGCTTCTTTACATCTTTGATTATTTCTCTTTCAACGGTTATTTCTGACTTTTTGTCACCGGAAATTGTTTTTTGTGTCTTCTTGGTCATAACATTCCTTTCCTTTGGCTATTTCATCACTTTTTCAATTCGCGAGAAGAATCGCGTACTTCAAGCCCTTTCTAGACCGAATTACGCCGAATACGTACCATCAGCCAAACGTGCCGCAATGGATTTGATGATTGGATTGAGAGAAGCAGCACCTTCCATCATAAATTTGACTCATGTCAAACAATTATTCGACAGGTTCCATGATAACTTTGATTTATGCCAAGCATTGGCATTCCAGTGCCTTATATTCGATGATTTCCCAATCGATTCCACGGAATTGAGGAAATCTTTGATTCAAAAAGGTTCATTTCTGCCTTTGAAGGATGTTTTCGACTTGAGCTTGATGACATATATGGTAAGAGCCAGAAATCTTACAGGATATCGAAAAGATGTTGTTAAAATTCAAAAGCAAATGTGGAAATTATTATGTTCAATGTCAGAATTCTTCAAATGCGTTATGAATGAAATGACAGATGCTATACCTTTAAGAACCTACCCTTACCACAAGCTAATCCAGAAAACTTCCAAATCATTGTTGTCATTTCTCCAAACTTATCCAAACAACGAAGATGGTGCCTTTTTCCTTGACTTATTCAAACGTGTATCTCCTAACCATCCAATGATCCCCGAAATGGAGTTTTGGGCCAATTACAAAGATAATTTCATTGAATCAGCACTTGAAATCTTTCCAAAGCTTATTTCCGTGGTCATACATAATCCTGATCGACTGGAGAGTTACGTACAAACAACTCCGAACATCATTGGCCATGGTGTTGTCGAAATGCTGAAGAATGAGGAGAATTTCACGGGAAGACCAACAACAAGGCTTGCAAAGAAAGGTCCATTCATTAGTTCATTTACTCATCCTATTCTTATCATTATAACTATCTTCTTTTTCTTGTATTTGGTTGTTTTGGTCCCTTACATGCTTTCTACAGTTCAACAAGGCTCAAACGTGACAAGAATCAAGTTTATTTACAGAGTATTGAGACGTATCAAGAGATTACAGACTTTCCTGTTCCCTGTCGAGTTGTTTTACAGAAATCCGAATAAAGAAGTTACTGATTTCTGGTCGAACATCGAAGATTACAATTCCTACAGAGATAAACTGATTGAAAACATTACACAGTTACAAGACAACATTTCACAGTTTCTCACTGTAGGAGGAGACTCAACAACCGAAATTTCGTCAGTTTTTACGAATTTGTCTGATGAAATTTATTACATTCCACTTTTGAAATCGAATTTTAGTTTGTACCACGCGATCTTTCCTTTCCTGTTTATCTCAGCTGAACTGGCATTGAATGACACACAGTTCATCAAATATGATACAGGATCAATCAACGAATCCTTGAATTTATTGGATGAAATCACAAATTTAAGTAATTTGTTCATTGACGATGTAAGTGGCGAAGTTTACAATGTTGAGTTAATGGAAAGCGCGAAACCAATGTTTTACTATACAGTTATCTTCGGGTTCCTTCATTTGATCGCTATACCATTGATTATCTTCATTTCTATCAAGAAAGCAAATGCAAGGAATTCAATTTTCTTCTCAAGTTTGAGAGATACTCAAAAAACCGCTTTGTCAGCAATTAACGTTTTCCTTCAAAGTCAAATGCGAAATGTCTGGGGAAATAACAACATCTGGCATGCATCTAACGCTTACCAGGGTGGCTCCCTTCTTTCTATCATCATCCCCGTAGTAATCTATTTCGCAGGTTCAGTTGCAACAGGTGCTGTAATGATTGTCAAATTTCAAAGTTATACTGACCAATTAAATATGATAAAAAGTGACTTTTTAAGAGTAAATTCACAATTTGCTATGCTATGTGATATTACTCAGACGAACTTTTATATCTATTTCAGTGACGACAATGACAGTATGAAGCAAACATACATTGATAAATTGGAAGAACTACATTCCGATTTCATTTTCCAATCAGAAAAAAGATCACAAGAAGTTAACAACGATACAACTTATTCTGATACATATAATAACTGGTTGGACAATGCAATTATCCAGAAATGGGTTGCTTCATCTGCTTTGCTTGTTGAATTGGAAAGAGTTCCTCAAGAATATATAACACAGTTACAAGTTTTCTTCAGCGAAGTTGACCCTGTTTGTACATTGTTAATTGATGAAATGTCAAAATCATGGAAAGATCAAATAACTATGACAGGTATTGATATTATTATTTGTGGTGTTTTCTTCTCTTTGATTCCTTTTTTGTTGTATTTGTTTGTTCTTTTGACGTTGCAAAGATTCGATGCTCCTTTCATGGATACTGTTTCTTTGTTGGAACATTTGAATGAAAAAGCTCTTTCTAATGATACAACACGTGCTCTCAACAATTCAGCAACACAATTAGAAAGAAATGAACTCGATTTCGACCAAACATTTTATGATATAATTCTGCAAACTCTTCCTGACCCTGTTTTCGTTATAAACATGAACCAAGTCATTATAACAATGAACACGGCTGCAACGAAAATGACAGTGAAGGGACCACAAAGCAAAATGATTTGCGATGCATTGAATATACAATTGACGTCGGCTACATTCGATGCAACTCCTTTGGACTTCATTATATCTAGTTACATACAGGAAGATAGAATTACTGTTGTGACTTATGATATAATTGGAACTTATAGAGATAGAAGAAGATATTATTCTTTGACAATTTTGCCACTTTTCAAAGGTGAACAAAATTCAATCATCGGAAGAAGTCATGGTGCTACGATGTTTTCTTTAACATTCCATGACACAACGAACGAGATTGTACAGCAGGAACTTATCGAGAAAGAAACATCTAAGTTCATGCAAATCATCAACCAAATTTTGCCAAAAGAAATCGCTTCTCAATTACTTAAAGACCAAAAGTCGATTTCTATGACAGTTGAAAAAGTTTGTGTCTCTTTCTGCGATATCGTTCAGTTCACTCCATGGTGTGCAAGTCAAACAGCTGAAGGTGTCGTCAACACTTTGAACACAATGTTCACTTTGTTCGATGACAAATGTTTGAGATACAGATCTGTAACAAAAATCAAAACAATTGGTGATTGTTACATGAGTGCAGCTGGTATTTTTGATAAAGGTGATTCTGTATCAGAAAGCTCCCATCAAATGCTAAGTTTCGCTTTGGATTTAGTTGATTCTATCAATGAAGTTAATGCTAAACTTGGCACAAAACTGAGAGTAAGAGTTGGTGTTGCTTTTGGTGGACCAATTTCTGCTGGTTTGATGGGTATAAGAAAGCCTGCATTCGATGTTTACGGACAAGTTGTTAATGACGCACAAGCAATGGAAAGTGGTGGAGAACCAATGAAAGTTCACATCAATAAAGAATTGTATGATATTGTGAACGACGCAAAGAATGTCATTTTCAATATAAGAGAGGATGGAACAGTTCTTTGCGAAAGAAAACAGAAACTTTAATTTTTCTTTATATTTGTTTTATATATATCTCATGTATATTTTTTTGTTTCTTACAAATTAAATATTATTTTTTTATTAAATCTAACTATCATTACTTTATTTGAATGGTATCTGCTTACCACAAATCTTTTACATTTTGGACAACACTTTTACTCAAATAATGAATATTCCAACATATTTTCATTCAAATTATTGTAAATATTTAAAATTTTGCTTATACATTGATATGTAATAGGGTGTGGTCAATATCTAACAACTCAAATTAGTAGAATTACGATTTCTAATTTTTATTCCGTGTAAACATTTAAAAGCACACAAAAATTAAAGCAATGCGGAAGAATTATTAAACAAAAATAGATGCAAAAGATATGTGATCGTATTTTTTAATGAAAATAGATTGCAAAGATCATAAAAGTTAATATTTCTAGATTCCAAAGCATTCCTATATTGTCGATCAAATTAATAAACGTACATTTTTTCTATTTAAATGACTGAGAGCCTTTCCGCAACAGATATTGATTTAATTAGGAAAGCTCTTGTCAATACTAAGACTTTAACAGAAAAAGAAATAGGAAATATTCTCGGAAGAGAAACTAAAAGTCTTAAATCAAAAATTACTAAATTTCGACCGCAATTATTAGACCAATCAATTTCGTCACAGTCTATTGCAGAATCGATTAATAAGATTTTATCAAAGAAACCGAATCAGGCTCCTCCAAAACTAGAATTACCAGAAGATCCAGCAATTGTAGCTATACTTCCACCAAAGATGCGTGCCAAAGTACCAATGCTTAAAACACCTACAGAAAAAGTTCCAGGACTTGATAAAACTCCTTTACAACTCTCAAACAATCGATCGTTTTCATCTGATTTTGGTGTTCAACCTCGCAAATTAATTCCTATATATCCAAAGACAACAGATGACCCAGTAATGCCATCACCTGCTCATACTCGCAATCCTGACCCAGAAATTGGATCATTAGCTGTTGTTGTACATAAGCTTCTAGGTCCAGCTCATATATGCAGAATTTTATCAAGCAAAATGGAAAATGGAACAAAGCACTATCTTATTGCATTCTTCCAACGAGGGCTAGAGCCTGGTTACGTTCCAGGTGATTATTTATACCAACTGCATACACATGTTGGTTTTCCATTAGGCGATGAATCTGAGTGGAAGGATGCAATAGAGAATCAAAATTGCTCGGTTGATTGGTTGTTAGAACATATTTATAGTGCTGCTCAAAATTTAGTAATCAAATACTCAGAATTCCAGTTGCCATCAACACAGTTATCCAAGAATGAAATCAAACCAGATCCGAATCAAACTCAACAAATTTTATTTTTATCTGTTTCCTTTGCTGCTTTGCTCTTGCTTTGTTACATTGCTAGCCGTTATAAGATACCAGAGAGTAAGATTCAAATTATCTTGGATATTATTATTAAGACCAATCCAACGAAATATCAATCAACAAAAACAATTATCAATGATATTTCGAATTCTTTGAAGACTATCCTTGCTTTACCAAAATGAAGTTTAGTTGTAAGAAAATTATCATGTATTGTGCTTTGGTCCCAAATTTTTGTTTTGAATCTTTTGAATTTAGTTTATTTTCTAATTTTATATTATATATTTTTTAAAATAAATCTTATACTTTTAGAATAACAACTAATTTTAAAAATCATTTTTTTATAATCATTTGGTTGATACTTGTTTGTAATCAATACATGTTCTCTTATTGGGGTATGAGTCATTAATACAATTTAAGCATTGATATGAAACATCATAATTTCATTCATCAAAAATCGATGGTTATGATGTCAAAATTCATATTTAAAGCACATCTTCGCTATAATTTATATGACCTATTTCATAAAAATGGTCATTTTTTAAATGGGTGTCCCCTCATTTTTCAGATGGCTGAAGGGACATTACCCACTTTTACTCAGCCAATGCATTGAAACAGAGTTAGACGAAGACCCATCTCAACCAAACCCAAATACTGAAGGAGATGTCGAATTTGATAATTTGTATTTGGATATGAATGGTTTGATTCATCCATGCTATCATCCAAAGAATCAAGAACATCCAAAAACATATCTTGAAGTATTCCAAAATGTAGAAAAATACGTTGACAGAATTTTTAATTTAGTTCGCCCTCGAAAGGTTTTATTTATGGCAGTTGATGGTGTTGCTCCAAGAGCTAAGATGAATCAGCAAAGAATACGAAGATTTTGCGCAGCAAAAGACTCAGAATATAATCGTTATATGCAATGTCAAGATTTATCAATTACAAAAGAAGAAATTGATGAAATAATGGATCCTCAGACTATTATACAATCAGATACAAACACAATTACACCAGGAACCGAATTTATGATGCAATTATCAGATTATATTACAGAAATGATTAATCGCAAGCAGAAAACATCACCAGCATGGTCAAATATAGCAGTTATATTCTCAGATGCATCAGTTCCTGGCGAAGGAGAACACAAAATTATGGAATTCATTCGAAGTCAAAGAGTTGAGTTTAATTATGACTTTTCGCGTCATCACTGCGTCTATGGTCTTGATGCCGACTTCCTTTTCCTCGGTTTATCATGTCACGAATTATTCTTTACAATATTAAGGGAAGAAGTCTTCAATGTAGAGAATCTAACACCTCCTGCCGGAAGATTTGGTCCTGCCAAATTTTTATTTGCGAATGGTTTTGTTTTTCGTCAGTATCTCGAACGAGATTTGAAACCAGCCAAAATGGGCTTTGATTGGTACTTCGAACGTGCACTAGATGATATTATATTCCTTTGCGTAACAGCAGGTAACGATTTCTTACCTCAAATCCCAGGAATGAACATTCTTGGCGGTTCCATCGGAAAAATTTTCGAATTGTACAAGAAAATTTTGCCAGAATTAGGTGGATATATCACTGATAATGGGAATGTTGACTGCAAAAGAGCTGCTAAGTTCCTTCATTCTCTTGTTGACAGTGAAGAAATCGCACTTCAAGGTATTATGAACCCTTCTAATTTATCAAAAGAAGCTTCAATAAATACCAACAAAATTTACCAAAACGATTATTCGCAAATTGAAAAAGTGCCACGACCAATTTCCTCAGAAATCACTCTTGAAAAACCGGATGATGCTTTTGAGAATTTGCAACAGAGATATTATAAAGAGAAGCATGGTTTCGATGAAAAAGATGTTGAAAAAGTAAAAGATGTTTGCATAAATTATCTCAAAGGAATGGCATGGACATTACAGTACTATTTGCATGGATGTACATCATGGAGCTGGTATTATCCTTATTATTATGCTCCTTTGTTGTCTTCTTTCGAGTTACTGGAAAATTTAGATATAAATTTGTCAGTTTTGGACGATTCCAAGCCAATACCACCGTTAGAACAACTTATGTCTGTTCTTCCGCCACAAAGTAGTCATCTTCTCCCTCAAAATATGGCAGAATTGATGAAAAAAGGTTCTCCTCTGGAAAAATATTATCCAACAACGTTTTCTATTGACATGATGGGCGGACATCAGCCATGGAAAGGAATAACATTCATTCCTATCATTGATGGTGAGTTTCTCGAGAAAACTTTGAAAGATTCAAAAATTATTTTAACTGATGAAGAAGAAAAAAGGAACAAAACAGGATTTGTTAAAGTCTTTGTTCAAAATAAGGACGAAGGTCTCTGTGATGGTTCTTTAATTTGGGGAGAACTCAAGAAAACTGAAATTGAAAATTGTTTTCATTTCATATTCGAAAATCCACCTCGTGAAAAGAATTTATCGTATATTCCATTGAATATTGATCTTCCTCGTAATATTGTTGGAGGCGTCTGTGTTGGACCTTCGAAACCTGAAGACATGCCATTGTCAATTCCAGGAATTCCGTATAACTGCAAGAGAGATTTCAGAATTACTAAAATTATCCAAGAAAAAACACGAAAGTCAACACTTTCTGTTAATAAGAAAAAGAAAAATTTATCTCATCTGATTTAAACTTATATTTATTGTTTGTTTTGTTTATAAAAATTATATTAACTATACTTTCTGTAAATGCAAATACACTAAATAATTAAAGAGAGGTCTCCAAGACAAAGAAAAGATAATGATGGATGAACTCCACTCATTTATGCATCAAGAAATGGTCATCTTGAAGTTCTTAAATTCATCATTTCTGTTGGAACAAATAAAGTCACCAGAGTAAGAGAATATCCATATCTCTAATACAAGGAATTCAACAAAATGAAGCCAATGTTGCTATATGAAGTTCAAAAACATATTATCTCCTCAAGTGTCTTGGAAAGAATGAACATTGTTCATTTGTTAAGCTATATTTTCATATAGCTATATGAAAATTACCTGTATTGACACTTTTCGTGATGCCAGTCCTTTGAAATTTTTTTCTCATGACACCATAAACTTCTCAAAAATAAATGCACACTTCTGAATTTTCTGAACTTTATGTCGTGACGCCGACCCTAGTTTTTACCCACACTTCTCCATACTCTGGACATCCAGGAAATCAAAATAATTTTGATTATGCAATAAATCCTTCAACGTCTCAAAAATTAAAATCAAAATCTTGAAAATCCAGAAATCTTTTGCACTTATTAAAAGATTTGCGACCTTTTATAAAAGTGTTAATTCAAAAAAGTGCAAAAAAGGTGCAAAATTAGAAAACACCGTTGCAATTTTTATTTTTTATTTTTATTCAATGGGAACTTGGAGAGACGGAAATTCTTCATCATCATGCGCACACAAATATAAAGGTGAGCACTCATATAAATGCGTCTCTGACTCTTTATACTCTTTTGTCGGTCCAATTCCATGGGGTTGGTTTCTCTTCTTTATTATCTTGTGGATAATTAACACAGTATTTTGGATTATAGCCCGCATTAAAAATCGCAAGTTTATTTCCCCAATTTGGTACTTGATCATTTCTTTGCTCCAAAATTTTGCTTTTACATTAATGATATGGAGTATAATACACGTAGCATTTGGTTCTGATGTAGGGTACATCGCAGGATTTATCGTTGGTTTAGTTTTTTGCGGTTTATCAACAGGCATATCCGACATTTTTACAAATACAGGAATTTACGACGGAAAAATCAAAGGAGCTTTCAGAGTCAGACTAATGATGTTTGATAATCTTTGCGCTTGCAGCCCTTATAGTGCACCTCAAATTACTTGCGGATTTAACGAAGATGGAGCCCAAGCCATAGCTAACAGAGTCTCAGGTAATCCACCAATGGTTCTTCTTTATCAAGAAAAGGAATATATTCAACAATTAAGCAATTTAAATGCAAATGACATGGCATATTTTGGTATTGCTTTTTTTTATAGCTTTCGACTTTACTATTGATGTTATGACAGTTCACATATTTAGAATTAATCAAATTTCATGAATTCAATCCGAAATCTTTGAGATCATTGTTTTCAACATACTTAGCACATAATCCTTTTTCTTCTATTAAATTTTAAGTATATCTTTAATTGTAGAATTCACATATATATAAATTTTTTGATGTCTGATCAAAACATTCAACAAAATAAATATGGCGAATTGCGAAGTATCTACAAATACTACATCGATGCGTACATTACGTTGTATCAGCTGAAAACGGAAAAAGAAGAAGATTTAAACTCGATTTACCAAATGATCAAAACAGAATTGATTGAATCAAAGAAACATCTTCCTCAAAACATCATAAGGGATATTTTAGATATGATCCCATATAATAATCGCTATACAAAGTCGTATTTAACTCTTGCCAAACTCATATCTGATGAATATCAAGTCAAAGATATCAGCAATGTTAACCCTATTTCAAACTTCTTGTTTTACAAAGAGTATGGAATTAAATTAAACAAGTCTACTAATTTCGCAGAAATTAATCCAGAAAATGTTGATATTCATACAGAAAATACAATTTACAAAGCTATTATGTGTAATGAAAAAGAACAATTTATTTCATTCACAGAAAGAGAAGGATTTGATAAAGATCAAATTCTTATTAGCAAATTATATCCAAGTCTCTATTTATCTGAAAGATATACATTGCTTGAATTATGCTGTTACCATGGAGCCGTTGATTGTTTCAAATTCTTAAGAACAAAATTTGACTCAAAAATAACTGAAACATGTCTTGTTTTTTCATTTTTAGGAGGAAATCCAGAGATCATGAGTGAATGTTTGAAATATCAAAGACCAAATGACAAATGCATGGAATATGCAATTATTTCACACAACATTGATTTTGTTGCATTCTTGATGAATGAATATGATAAAACAATCAGTTTACAAGTTTGTGGAATACATAAAATTCTTGAAGCATTTTTAGTTTATTTCGATCAAACTGATGCATCTAACAAATGTTTTGTTTATTCCGCAATGTTCAATTTTCCATCACTTGCCGAATATTTTCTTTCGCATGGTGGATATATTAATGAAAAAGATGAATTTGGACATACCGCTCTTCATCATGCGGCACGCAATAATAATACCGAAATGGTCGAATTTCTCATTTCACATGGCGCAAACATCTCCGAAAGAGATTATGAATCGGAAACTGCTCTTCATTATGCAGCACATTATAATTGTAAAGAAACAGCCGAACTTCTTATTAGATTTGGTGCCGATCTTTCTGAAAGAGATCATGATGGACAAACTGCTCTTCATTATGCAGCACATTATAATTTTAAAGAAATATCTAATCTTCTTATTTCACATGATGCTCTTATCAATGAAAAAGATAAGAATGGAAAAACCGCTCTTCATTGCGCTGCATGTAATAATTGTCCCAAAGAAACAGCTGAATTTTTTATTTCGCATGGTGCAAACATCAATGAAAAAGATGGACAAGGAAAAATCGCTCTTCATTATGCAGCATTGAAAGACAATAAAGAAACAACTGAATTTCTTATTTTGCATGGTGCAAATATCAATGAAAAGATAATAATGGAAAATCTGCTCTTCATTATTCAGCAGAATACAATTGTCAAGAAACAGCCAATCTTCTTATTTCGCATGGTGCGAATATCAATGAAAAAAGATAAATATGAAAGAACCGCTATTCATTATGCAGCATTGACAAACAATAAAGAAACTTCCAATCTTCTTATTTCACACGGTGCAAATGTCAACGAAAGTGATAAATATGGAAAAACTGCTCTTCATTATACAGCAGAAAATAATTTTAAAGAAACAGCCGAAATCCTTATTTCTCATGATGCGAATATCAATGAAAAAGATAAATATGGACAAACAGCTCTTCATCTTGCAATCAATGCAAATCATAAAGAAGTAGCCGAACTTCTTGTTTCGCATGGTGCAAACACCAACGAAAAAGATGAACAAGGAAAAACCGCTCTTCATTATGCAGCAGAATATAATAGAAAAGAATTAGCCGAACTTCTTATTTCGCATGGTGCAAACATCAATGAAAAAGATAGACAAGGAAAAACCGCTCTTCATTATGCAGCATCGAAAAACAGTAAAGAAACAGTTGAACTTCTTATTTCGCATGGTGCAAACATCAATGAAAAAGATGGAGAAGGAAAAACTGCTCTTAATTATGCAGATGATGAGAATCGTAAAGAAATGGCAGAACTTCTTATTTCTCATGGTGCAATAAAGTATTCTTCCTTCAACAGATTCATCTCTTCTTTATTCGAAAAGAAATAAAAAATAATCAATTAAGTTTTTATCACTGAATCTATTCGTGAAAGCGATTTTTTTACAATTGTACATTGTCTATTCATGACAAAATTACTGCAAAGAAGCATTTGACAAATAATTAAACCTTATAATTGATAATAAATTCTTATCATTATTAAATATGATTCAAATAAAACACTTTTAATGCATATCTATTAAAAAGTACTACGTTCACAATTGCAACCCAATTTGTAAGATTAAGAAAAAACAGAAAAGTTGTATGCTGATGACTTTTTGTATGAAAGCAATATATATCATCCTAAGGAAATTAAATTGAATAAGTAATTTGAGAAAATATCAAAAGAAATTTGAACTTAAGTTAAGGTTGTCTATTAAAATTATGTTCGCCTATCTTTATGGGGAAATAGATGAAATGATCGCTTATATCATTTTCGCAAAATCTAGTTTTGTATTTAATAACTCGATTCAATTTTAAGTAATTTTTTTGTTAGTAACTGACAAACATGCGTCGAATAGTGTGAACGTCGGAACTTTGTTGGTACATACTCTGACTATGACTGTGCTCATAGCACTTATGCATGTCCAAAAATATTGCCGCAATATGGAGAAAAAGTGATTTTTTTAAAAAAAAAATTTACAACTATTCAAACCTACCCCCTTAAAACTTTTTGAATTATATTTAATAATTATAAAGATTTTATCATTATTATAAAAGGAAAATTGCAAAATAATGTCACTTTTTATGGAAAAGGCTATTTCAAAAAATCTCAACTGCTAGATATACATGGTGCCATTTGCGATGGGCTTTCATGCACATTTAATAGTGGAAATGTAGTTTATTCTAAAAAACAAGTTAATCATGGTAGGTGGTATTTCGAAGTCCATCATAATGGTGGCAATTTCATGTTCACAGCAGGCTTCGCCACTCCTGGCAATTTCGAAGGTATCTCATACTTCACTTACAAATACTATTATAATAACTCAGGAGATGGGGTAATTTTTTATCCGCCCTACATCAGCTCATCTGAAATCTCTAGATATGGCTCTATGAATGCCACATCTTTTAAAGAGAATCAAACATATGGAATTGGAATTGATACAGATTCAAATTTGTTTTTTGTTCAATCTGCAAAAGAGATCCGAAGATATCAGTTCAATGTTCTTAAAAACACATCTTATAAATGGAATGCATATGTAAGTGAAGCTACACCAAGAACTTACACTTATCAAGATAATATCACATTGAATTTTGGCTTAAGTCCATTTGAACTACCAGTACCATATGGTTTTCAACCATATATTTCGAATTTTATCGATTATTGTAAAACTCTCAAATCTTGCATGAATTTACCAGTTTCTCATGCATTTCTATACGTTATCATAACAATGTAAACAATTTTATCTACAGATAATAAAGAATTTTCTAATAAATCAATATATAAAGATTAAATTTCTAATAAGCTATAATGAAAAAGATAAAAAGATGCAACAGAGAATAATCAAAAAGAAATATCGAACTTCTTATTTCTCATAGAAGCAAATATATCAACGAAAAAGATAAATATGGAAAAACTGCTCTTAGCTAAGCAATTGCTGAGAATCGTAAAGAAAGTCTGAATTTCTTATTTTACACGATGCAAAAAAGTATACTTCCACTTGAAAATTCTTCTCTTGCTTTTGCAAAAGAAATAAATAAAAGTGATTTAACTATTGTTGCTTTTTACGATAATCCAGGGTAGGAAAGTTCCTCTTTATACCACTTTCTCATCAAGTCTTAATCTTGAGAATTGACTTTCTTTTTGAGTTTATGGAACTAGGAAGAGCCGTTCTTTCCATGAAGAAAAGAGTCACTGACACAACAAGTGGGCTTATTGAATTTTATCTTTTCAACATTATTTGAATAAATATCCGTTTCCTTAAAACTGGAGCCTACTGAGACTTTAAATTTGAAAATTCGATGCTATTGTATTTTCCAATTTCTATATTATATCGATAAAAGAAAAAATTCAACAATACATCAATGAATTGAGATGTCGATTGTTAATCTTCTCTGGGTCTTTAAAACATTTCTGACTGCGGAGTTCTTGTTTGTTCATTACAAGCTTTCAACAATTTTTTTCTTAAAGTTTTTGTTCAATGCAACATAATTGAGAAATGTTTTTCTATCTCCTGCTTTGGGAACATATCCATTGGACATTGTTCAATCAGAGGAATCAAAGTTAACAGTTAAGTTGGCATTGTTACTGAAGAATATCTGCTGTACAGTCTAATTTATGATCAGTGATTGAAGGGCAAACGTTGATTTGTCTTTTAATTGAATTGTTTGCGTTATTCATAAAAAAAATTTAATTTGAAAACAAACTTAAGTAATAATATATTTTTACTGTAAATGATTTTTGTATTTGGTCATAAACTCATCAAACAAATCCTGAAGTTCATCAAATAACCCCTTATATTCTGCAGGATCTGTATTACGATCAGTTTCGTGATCTTCAATCCATATGTCCAATTCCTCAGCAGCTTTCCATTCTGCAGATTTTTTATTTGTCTGGAATTTCTTCTTGAGCTTTTGAGTGGTATTTAAAACCGTCTCAACTAATTTTTCGAAATCAAAAATAATTCTCTCTCTTTCCTCTTTTTCTCTTATTTTTCTTTTAGCTATTTCAACAGCATAACGATCTGCGCTGCGATCCTTATCGATTAAGAAATATTCTGAATCACCACTTTCATCTGTTCTTTTATAATGACATTCAATCAAATTATTATTATCTACAGAAATTGTGAATTCAAATGTAATAGATCCTTTTGGAGAATTAGGAGGGATGTCGAAATCGGCATAGCAAATTTTTTTGCACTTTTCTGCTTTTGAATCTTCGCCTTCATAAATATTGATACCAATTGCATCTCCATTGCAGAAATTCTTGAATTTCTGTGTTCCAGAACATGGTAATTTCTCACCTTTTTTAAGGATTTTAATGATATTATCATTGCCATCAGCAATTCCTATTGATGAACTGAGAATTTCAATAATTTCCATATCATCTGCTAAAATAGGTTGAGAAATAACTCTTTCAACAGGTTTCCTTTCTTCAATTTCTTCAATTTCCCTTGGAGTAATTAATGGCTGTGAGAAATTAAGTGGTGTAACAATAGGAAGTCTATTAGAATTAGGTGGCTTTTTAACTACTTTCTTCTTATGATTCTTATTGATGTAATGATAATAAGCGGCTCCTTCTGCAACAGCTGTCAATCGTGAGATATCTGCAATAACACTGAGTCCGAGTTCTTCTATTCTTTCAGTAATTAATGGTATCATTGATGATCCACCAACAAGAATGATTTGTTGTTCATCGGATGTTTGTTCAGCCTGTTCATTAGTTAATGCAATTGTTCTGTCAATAATTGGTTCAATGATTGATTTGAATTTGGCTTCACGTATTTTATATTCGAATATTTTGTTATCATCGAATTTGATGGTTATAGAAACAGTTTTAATGCTTGTGGAGAACTTTTTCTTGACTTCTTCGGCTTCAGCTTTGACAAGATTATACATTCTTTCTTGTCCTTTCTCCTTAATTTTAATTCCTACTTGCTTCTCAATTTCTGGGGCCAAGTAGTCAACAATTGCTGCATCAATGTCTTGCCCACCGAGTTTGGAATCGCCTCCTGTTGAGTTTATTTTAATCTTCCTGTTATTTATCGTGGCACGAGAGATATCAAATGTGCCACCACCAAAATCATAGATAAGAATGTGGTGGCGATGATCAGCAGAGGCTTTATGGGCAAATTTAATGGCAGCTGATGTTGGTTCTGGTAGAAAATGAATTTTATTCGGATCAAATCCGGCAATAATTGCGGCATTCTTTGTAGCTTTCCTTTGAGCATCAGAAAATGCTTGTGGAATTGTAATAACGGCGCCATCAAATTTGCCAATAATTTTTTCTGCGTGTGTTTTAAGATATTTTAGAATTTCGGCGGAAACTTGAACTGGGCTGACTACCTGGGTTTTACCTTTATTTTCTAGTATGATATCGACTTCATTATCGGATGTACCTTCAATGCGGAAAGGCCAAGTCATATTTTGAGCTTTAACTTCATCATAAGTTCGTCCAATCATTCTCTTAGAATCATAAGCGACTAAGGTTGGTGTTATTTGCAATTGATCTTTGGCTTTTTGACCAAAATAAGTTGGAGTACCATAATAAACTTGAGAAGGAATCGTTTTACTTCCTTCAATTTCAAGGACTTCTGTTTCCTGTGTGCTTGGTCTATACACTGCTACTGAGCAAAATGTTGTACCAAGATCAATTCCTACATAAACTTCTTCATTCATTCTTGAAATGTTGGCAAAAATGCTTTTTTCCCCACAAAACGACTTTCTTAAAATCATATATCGAAAGTACACATTTAGCATAATGGAGCCAAATATAAGATAATAGCAAAGTTAAGCATGCAAACTCTTGAAAAATTATTCAGAATGATTCCTATAAACAAGCCCCCTCTAGTCTAATTGCCAATTAAATCAATTTTACCTATGGTTAATTTTAAACTCTCTGAAAAAAATGCAGAGAATGCAGCTAAGAAATGAAATCATATTAAATTCGTTATTTATAAACAATCGGAGATAGAAAGTGAATATCTATGAATGCAAGATGGATATTTTCATTGATTATAGTAATTGATTCCGAAATTACTAAAATTTGATTTGAAATTCGTTACAAAATCTTCATGGTTCGAAAGAAATAAGTTACAAAGTTTATCTTAACCTAAAATTTAAAGAAAAATTGTTTAATTATTTAATTAATACATTAATCTTTCTTTTCCTTATCATCGTTAGCCTCTTCCTTCTTTTCTTCCTTCTTCTCTTCTTTCTTTGGTTCTGCCTTTACTCCTTCTTTCTTCTTTTTATCATCCTCGTCAATGATTGGGCGTTTGGCAACACCAAGAGCGCAATCAATGAATTTCTGTGTTGCATCTTGGCCAACATTGGCAGAGTAGAGATAAACTAAGCCGGCCTTGATTTCAATTGGAAGAAGTTTTCCTTCGGAAATATCAGCGAGCCAATCGTAAAGTTTAACGAGAACTTTGTTCTGATTCCAGAAGGATAAGACAAGGAGTGCAACATTAACCATCAAACCTTGGAAGAGCCACATATTAATATCCTTATTTTCGTTCCTTGTCTTGATGACGAGATCGATTGTAAGGAACATAATATTGCCGAGCTTCTGAGAAAGGATATCTGAGTTAAGAAGGCAAGGAGCGATCTGATAACGTGCATTGATGGCACAAGCGAAGAAAGTACGTGAATTACTAAGAGCTGCGACGGCAAATACAAGAGCTGATATCTGTGAGCGTAATGGTTTTGGTACTTTGTCAACGAGGAAATTAAATAATCCGTATTTTGGATGGAACGGGTCAAACAAGGCATCACCGACGATGATATCTGGTTTGTTAATTAAAATGATGATTGATGGTTTAACAACCATGAACAAACCGAATAATTCTTTTCCGAAGATTACAAGAGACATGAAAGGAGAGATGGAAAGCCATTTAATGGCAACAACCATCTGTGATGCAAAGCTATTAAGTGCTAAAATTGCAAAAACAACTTGAATACCAACAGCAATAATACTATTCTTCTTTGTAGCGACTTCTTTCAAGATATCTTGTGTTCCTGGTCTTAATTGGTCTATACCATTTCTCTCCAAAGAGAAATTTTTCTTCCATTCATCGAAGTTTTCCATTGATGAAATATTTTTTTTATTTCCGATCGAAATGACGATAAAAGTGGAATTAATTCAATGATTGAACCAAGAGTAGATTGGTCAAACCCGGAACAATGGGAATTAGTGTATAAACCATCCTCGGACACTTTCTTCCTCTGCGATGGTATTTCTAAGCTATTTGACCGCTTCCCTCCATGTCCTATTGTTTTGGAAATCGGAAGTGGCTCTGGATACGTAACTGCTTATACTAGTATGTTATTTAAGTCAAAAGGACTCCATTCTATTCATTTTACAACAGATATAAATGTTGAATGTTGTAAAAAGACAAAGCAATTATGCTCTGAGAATGGGGTAAGTGTCAACGCGTTTAGAGATCGATTCTGTGAACATTTTAGAGGTCCGATTGATGTTCTTATTTTTAATCCTCCTTATGTTGAGACTCCGAATGAAGAGCTTGAGGATGCAATCAAGAAACACTCTATAGAAGCTTCATGGGCAGGTGGCGAAGATGGTGCTGTAGTCATCTATGATTGCCTGAATTTTATTGTGTCTCATCGTGAAAAATTCTCGCCTAACTTCATATTCATATTATTGTTGGATGCTGTTAATAAGCCTATGAAGTTAAAGAGATTTTGCAAAGCGCACGGTTTAGAATTAAAAGTAATTATGAAAAAGAACTGCCAAGGAGAGAGTCTCCTCATTTCAACTATCACTCCTATGGAATTATAGCTTGCTGTTTATTCTTAGACGTCGCATTTATATTTTTCAGAAATCTATTTCTATCCTTTTATTTTGTTCTGTATTTCTTTATAGTTTCTAAAATATAATATTTTAAGCTGTTTTTAGTTCTAATGGCTGAGTATTTATGCATATTGTCCTTTCATATTTTTTGATATTAAGTATCAAAATGGCTAATCTTCCTTTCTCCTTTTCAATCGAGTACTTTCATACGTTCTATGGGATGTCCTTACTCGCCAAATAGTTCGAACAGTTTAATGACTATAAGTGCAATTGAATAGTTTACGTTTCTTGGATTTTTAATAAATGAATGGAAATTAGCCGTTTTTATATAATATTTACACTATTTTCTCTACTACTATTTATACACTACGAAACACTATTAATATCCAATAAATTCACCATTCAAACTCGACTTTTTCCACAAAATTCGTATCAATTTTCTGAAATATCAAAGAAAAATATAGATAAGCAAGTTCGTATTGCAGGAATTAAGAATGGATTAGTTCCTAAGTATATATACAAGTTAATTTCATATGATCTAACTTTTGATCAGCTACGAAAAGGGAAATTGTATGGATTTATAAAGAACTCTGATAAAATCCCATATGATGAGTACTTACATGCACCAAATTTGTTACCAAAATTCACAGAAAAGAGTTTTTTTGAATCATATAATTGAATAAAAGCGAAAATTGCCATTTATAATGATGCTTATGCTACATGTACTGGTGAATTTGTTATTAATAACCATATTATTCGCCCTCCTACAGATTCTGCTCCAAATAATGTCAGAGTCTATTCAGAAGGACCTGTAGTCTTAGAATGTGATAAAGCTTGTATCTTTGGTCATGGAAATGCTGTAAACTTCGGTCATTTTATTAATGATTATTTATCACCAATGATGCTTTTGCCTCAAGAATATTTAGAGGATTGTATTGTTATTTTAGCCGAAGGTACTCGAAGATTCTATGATTTCCTCAAAATATGTGGTGTTCGAAGATTTATTTTCATTTCAAGTGGAGAATGGGTTCATACTAACCAACTTGCTGTTGCCGTTGAAGGCAGACCACATTTTGCACATTTCGGAATACCAATTCAAATGCTACATGATAGAATTACAGAATTTTACAATCTCAGCCATATTATTCCCACTAGGAATGTCCTTCTCAATAGACAAAGAGGAGTACAAAGATCTATTCTTAATTTTGATGAGATTGTAAACCGAGTTAAAACAGATATTCCTAATTTTAACTTTGAATGTGTCGAAGACAAAACAGACACTCTTCAAAGCTATGCAAAGTTCTTCTCAACAATTCAATTCCTATTTACTCATTCAGGAAGTAATTGCAATAAAGCATTGTTCATGAGAAAAGATACAGTGACTGTTATTTGCGGTTCTGACTTTTTTGATGTAGGAAGTCTTTCAATGATCCTTTCTATAGGAATTAATTGCGTTGTTTATCATAATACTTATAATCATTTTATAGGTAAGGTATATCCTGATGTTGACCTGACAATAGACGCAATCAAAGCAGGAGTGTGCTTTATAGAGAATCATCATTGGCCTAAGATCACTTCCAATGTTACTTTTATAGATTATATTAAAAAATAAAAATTATTGTTTGTTTTTTTCTAACCAAGTTTATTGTTTGCTTTAGTTACATTCATCTTAATCTTAATATAGATTTACCAGTTAGGATTTAGATAAAAATATCTTTCATATGTATTCAATACTCATAAGCTCTAGGGATATCGGGTTATTTAGACGAAAATCATGATATTTTAACTTTGTGGGCTTCATGTTGTTAATGGCATTGATATGAAAAGAAAAATTCTCTAATAGAAGAGAAATTGAGCGATATTTGATGCATAGTTAAGCTATATTTTACAGATATATCATTAAAAGCTTCCGTATTTCAGTGACTCACCTAAAATATTTGTATCGCTTTCAATTTGAAAATTTCCATTCAAAATTAATTTGAATAAAAATGATGCAAAAATTCCCTAGGATCAGGAAACAGTTCGGAAAGGCTGTTGCTGAGTTCCATCTTATCCTTAGTCAAGATAAAATATTAGTGCCAATTGATGCAGATGCACCACGATTAACATTGGCCGCTTGGATTTACTTGAAAAAAGCTAAAATGATACAAAAATGTGAAATATGTGCAGCACACTTTTACTCTTCAGATAATGTAGATCCAGAAACCCAAAGTATTTTGGATGATTTTATCAAACAATACCCCATGGACATTAAATACGTGCATCACGATGATGTCACTGATAGAGAGTCACTACACCGAATGTATGTTGAATACGCCTTAGAAGAAAATTGTAATAAAGTTGCCGTTCCAGATACGATTGAGCTTATGAATGCAACAATGCTTGCAACAATGTGTACTGATTGTGTATTAAATGGACCGGATCCTGCACAAAAAGTGCAACTTGCACCTGATGCACCAGAAATTACAATAATTCGACCATTCTGTTACTTAAAAGACGCTGATTTACTTAGTTTTACGCAGAAAAACTTAATGAAAACTCATAAAGCTGGAATTGATATTGAAGAAGAGAATGAAGTTATTGTTTGTCGCGAAACAATTAAAGCTTTAAGCACTGAAGCATCAAATACTAATTATAATATCTTCCATTCTCAATTTGTAGTTCAAGAGAAATATCTTGGTGGTGGAGATGGATTATATCATGAGCTTGGTGACTTTGATAAAGATTAAACTAGTATAGAGTATGAATTTATAAAGATAGACATTTACTTCATATTAAATTTTTTTGATTTGCCAAATTCACGAAATCAACAGAGAATCTGAGAGTTTATTTGTTGATACTGTGATTGATTTGTGCTACGTCTATATGTTTTTAGCTGAACTAAGTGATAGACAAAGAAATTATTCTGTCAATATTAAATTTTTGAAAATATAATGATTTTTGCTGATTGGAAACACCTACTTTCTTGGTTGTAACTATTGTTCTAATACATATTACTATCGATTCGTATTCCAAATGACACTTTTATTAATTTCATGTATTCGGACTTTGTTAACCTAGATAACTTAATATCAGAGATAAATAACATCTATGAAACCAAACATGATCTAACCAGTGATGTTAGTGTGCTTGAACCAGAGAGAGAAATTAATTTCTATTATTCTACGGCAATGAATCCTTATTGCTCACCAAATATTAGTGAAATGTTTATGATGTCATTACAGAGGACTGCCCAAGGTCGAACACAAAATGCAAAGAAGATTGACAATGAATCAATTCACTCTGAGTTAATTCAGAATGAAATATATGAAAATGAAATTAAAATACGTTCATATTGGAATACTCTCAACACTGATAATAATGATGTTGCTTTAACTGTTCAGAGCAGAAAAGATAAAAAGAATAGAACGAAAGTTCGTTCAAGCTCAATTAGATTGCAAATTGGTAATCTCCAAATGCTTAATAGTAATTATGAAAAGCCAGCTTCGCGCCTTGGTAACTTGAGATCATCATTTATTAGATTATCAGAAAAACAAATGAAAGAAGAAATGAATCTTGCAAGTCCAAGAGAATTATGTAGTAGTACATCAATATTGCGTAGCCCAATTGTTGATGTTAGCGCAAATAATGAATCCTTATTGTCTCCTTTAAGCGGAGACTCAGATGAAATGATTCCACCTGTTCATCAAGAACCATCTGAAAATAAGAAACCAAGACAAAGAATTGTTCTCCAAATTCCAACTCAACCTGCAGCGTTTGGCAAAGCTCCAGAAAGGAAGTTATCTCGTTCAAACTTAAAACCGGAAATTCACAAAGCAAGAACTGGTTCTTTAGGATCTCATATTCGAAAATCTCGTGCCAGTATTTCAAGCGAATTCAAAGCTTCAGATGTCGTAATTCCTGAAGGAAATGATGTAACTAGAAGATCACCGCCAACAGGAAACAGAAGAAGACCAACTCGTCCACCAAAATAAAAATTTCCGTTTTATTTATAAAAAATCAAGCATTATTAGATTGCTCAGTTGTGAATTGGTAAGTTTTAATAAGTTATCCAACTCAATATAATGATATCGAATCAAAAAATAATTATTATGGTAATAACACTTTGAAAATTAAAGCCAAATGGTTTAAGTTGTTGGTTTTGACTAGTTGTGGTTGTAAAATTAGAAGAAAAACAATATATTCAAACAATTTGCAAAAATCTTAAAATTAGGTCGTGAATATTTGGTTGGATGATATTACTGTGATTGAATCAGGTATGAGCATATTGTATGGCGCAGAATTTGATCCTAATTAACTCAACTTCAACTGTCAGTATAATAATGTTCCAAAATAGCCGATTGAAAAAAGTGGCATTCTGAAAAATAATGATGAAAAATTATGAAGTTACTTTTATCTTCATATCCTTAGTATTTTAAAATCGTCAGCAGTTATTTCTTCACAAAATTATCGAATTTTGTGATGGGAATAGACCCCTCATTATTCAAATTGAGAGGACCCGTCAACCTGTTCATTCTGAGAATTTGAAAATACCTGTAGAAAATTTTAATTGAGTTCACTTTTATCTCTGCATGTCAACAGTACGCGAGATTTTCGAGAAAGACGAAGCAGCAGGCCTTAAGGCTTTCGAAGAGAAGATCAAACCACTCGGTTTATCTGAAGGCGCCAAGGAAAAATTACTTTACATGTTCAAATCAGCCTTTTCCAAGGCATCTGCTGCCGATTGCATGATTGACTGGCAATATGTCGTTCCACTTACAGACAAGGAACAAACACCATACGAGACACTTAAGGATCCAGAAAATCCAGCTGAACTCCTCAAGAAGCTCGTTATCGTCAAGCTCAATGGTGGCCTTGGCACAACAATGGGCTGCACAGGACCAAAGTCTCTCATCTCCTGCAGAAACGGCAAGTCATTCTTCGACATTGTTGTTGACCAGGTCAAGGAGCTCAACGACAAGTACGGAACTGATGTTCCACTTGTTCTCATGCACTCCTTCAACACAGACGACATCATGAGACCACATGTTGAAGCTGTCAAGGATGTCAAAGTTATCACATTCAACCAAAACAAGTTCCCACGTATCTACACAGACACACTTGAGCCAGTCCCAGAGAATGCCGAGTCCCCAATCTCAATGTGGAACCCACCAGGCCACGCAGATGTTTACCATTGCCTCCGTGACTCTGGCTTACTTGACAAGTTCCTCGCTGAAGGAAAGACAATCATGATGATCTCCAACATCGATAACCTTGGCTCTGTTGTCGACCTCAAGGTTCTCAACAAGGCAATTACAGAAAACCGCTCATACATGGCCGAAACAGTCCTCAAGACACTTGATGACTGGAAGGGTGGCATGCCAATCATGTACAAGGGCCACATGAAGCTTCTTGAAACAGCTATTGTTCCAAAGGAGCATTTCAACGATTACACAGATATGAACTTCCTCAACTACTTCCACGCCAACAACTTATGGGTCAACCTTGTTACACTCAAGCAGGCTCTTTCCGATGGAACACTCAAACTCGATACAATGAGAAACTACAAGAAGTACAACAACCGTGAAATTGTACAATTAGAAGCTGCTTGCGGCTCTGCAATCCAGTCCTTCAAGGATTCATGCGCTGTCAGAGTTCCAAGAAACAGATTCCTTCCAGTCAAGTCTTGCAACGAATTACTATTAGTCAGAGCTAACGTTTACATCATGGAGGGATCCCACTTCGTCCGCAATCCAGCCAGAAAGATCGCTGACCTTCCATCCATCCAACTTTCTCAAATCTACCAACACGTCGAAGACTTTGAGAAGAGATTCCCAGAAGCTCCAGACATGGTAGATCTCGTCAAGCTCCACGTCGATGGTGATGTCTTCTTCGGCAAGAACATCAAACTTGTCGGAAACGTCGACATCCAGATTCCAGCTGGCCAGACACTCACAATCCCAGACGGAAAGGTTCTCAAGGACTGCACAATTCGCAGTGCTGCTGATTTGTAAACTATTTTTATTTAGCTTCATTTTCAAATTTTCTTAGCTTTTTCCTTATATAATACAGATGTAGTGATACTATACTTGTGACTCAGAGAGAAAGAGAGGATTATGAAAAATTTGGTAAAATAGATCCTATTGTTCCATAGAATGAGATATAATATGAAATTTTATCCCCAATAAAAATAGTTTGTTCCCCCCAAATTTATTATTTTTATAAAAGTTTCAAATTTCCAAAATCTCTCTTTTATCAAATCATTATTTCAAACAGAGTAACATGTTAGAAAAACAACATCACATATCTCGAATTTGCTCCATTTCACAAAGAATGAATGGGAAGAAGTCTACAAAACTACGTTTAGTTCTGAAATCTACAGTAAAAATCAAACATACGTAGGTTACAAGGGGAACTTTTATGTCCGTGAAGTCTATTTCAGTAACCTTGGTAACGATGGTGTTATCAACCTTAATTCTGCCGATGTTAAGTCTCTTATTTCATCAAATTCATTCGAAAACTCATCTCGGAAAGGCGACGGTGGCTCTATCTACATCGAAAAAGGCCAAAGTTCCATTCGAAAAGTCTGTAGTTTTGGATCCAAATCTACCGACAACGGAAAGTTCTGTTTTATTTACGTTTCAGATGCTTCTACTAATATCAATGAAATCCAAGATTCATCTATAACATATAGTAATCAAGGAAAATTAGACGGATCTATGACAATTTCTTTATGGTATGGCAATATTTCGCTTTTCCAAAACAATATCACGAGAAACTATTGCGAATATGATGCAGCATTTGGAATATCATATAGCCAATTCACTCGTTCAATCAAATATTCGAATATTGATGAAAACTATGCAACATACAGAATTTGTTTTGTACAATCCAAACCAGCAACATGTAACAGCATTGTTTTCACAAACAACATTGTTTCTGCAGATGATAGTGATTTTCCTGAAATGTTTAATTGTGTTAGTTGTTCTGCTACATTTGAAAACTGTTTCATTGCAAGTAACAAACAAAATGATTGTTATTTGTTTGGAATTGCAGGTTCAGGATATACAGTTACAGTTTCTAATTCATATATTGATACACAAGAAAAATTATTTCCAGAAGGTCAACAAGTTTCAATTGGACAAAATAAAGACATTTCAGTTGAACTTCATCTTCATTCGATTGAACTCTGTCCAACAGGAAATAACATTGAAAATCTTAATAAAATCATTTCGAAGCTTATTCATCTTCATGGAATCGGTGAATCAATGACTTCGTTATTTTCTTAATTCTATTATTTTTTTTCATATTTGAGAACAAATTACTTGATTATATGACCAAATTGAGATTTTGAATAAAATATTTAAGTCAACTTATTAATGAAGCAGTTGAAATTTTAATGAGAATCAAGATGCATGAACAAATATGATAATTACATTATTTTTTCAACAACGTGTTTATTAATATGATAAATTGCTTACTCTAAGGTGAAGAATAGTCGTAGTATTGGCAAAAAAACCAAAACATATCAGTTTGAGTTCAAATGATGAGACGAAGTTAGATGAAAGAGGTTTGTTGATGAAAAGATTCAAAAGATCTGGAATAAGACTTGAAAGATGAGATAAAACATGGTCTCTGTCGTTCAGAGAGAGAAAGAGAGAGCTGAGAAAAGAAAACATGCAACGTGTGAAAGGATGTTAGAATGTTCACGATGAAGACGTTCTGAAAGAATGTTGAAGATGTCAATTACTGCATAAAAACAACTAAAACAGAACAAAAATGACTGAAAAAAAGTGGATCTATCTGACATAACAAACAAAGACATGTAAAATAAACTTCGTCGCTACAACTAAATTTAGATAAGAAAAACACGATCTTATAGATCTTCTCACAAAGATACTTGTCAAGTTCGATACTTTCAAGTGCACTAAAGAAAATGTTCCAAATAGATGAAACAGATTCTTTGATGTTTTCAAGTTCATCAAGTGAGTTCTTGTTTGTAAGTAATGAAACACAAATGTCAATACCACAGAAGACTGATGGAGAGTCTGAAAGAAGACTAAAAACAACTGGACAAACTAGGTTAACAACAAAACCGTTGAATTCGAGAAATTTAGACAATGCTACAAAACACGAAAAAATAACACAATACAATGTGTGATTCATGTTAAATTGTTCTTGAGAAGCCACTAAATTTTATATGAGAAAACTTTAAAACAATAATAAGTTAGTCAAATGATATATTTAGAGGGGTAAGTTCTTGAGAACTCGATGTACTTTTCTTATGCTTTTTGCCTTCATATCCAAACCTTTGAAGGAATCTCATTCTGGCATTGACTAAAAATGTTGCTAGCTGTTTCTTTGTAATCCCAAACCTATCCATTATTAACTCTTTTTCCTTCTTAGATGGGTATGGATTGTAACGATGCTGTAATAGCCAACTATTAAGATATGCTTTAGCATCTGGGGGTAAGTTCTTTCCTCTACGTACTTTTCTGTGTGAAAAAGAAGGTAATTCATCATCACTATCATGAGGTGAAGTTTGCGGACTATTTGGATGATTGTAATCATCTAAGTTTATAAATTCTTGGATGACAATTGTTTCATCATCTGATTGGGTAACATTTTGGCTGCAAGCTTTATCATCGTCTGAATATACAGTCTTTGGAAAACCAATTACATAACCTGATTGTAAAAATTCTTGGTTGCGCATTACATTCTCGCCTAATTCTGTAGCATTTTGGCTGGAGATAGTATAATTATCTGATTGTACATTATCTACGTAGCTATTTATATCATGGTCTGAATTATTTATGATATTAATGTTCCCTTGTGGACTTGGAATCGAAGACATGCTATTTGGATCATGATTAAAAAATAAATTAAGTTGATCATCTGTGGATTCAAGACAGCTTGACATTACTTGTTCCATATCGCAATCCTTTGGTATTGGGATACCATTTACAAGTGACAGAAAGTCTTCCATACTAAGCTAAAATGTATTTTTAAACGTGCACACGTTCAGTATTAATTTGAATGGGTTAACGTAACTTTTCAGAGAGAAAATTTGACATTGAATTTCTAAAGATTTTAATTCATTAATATTATATATGTCAAATAATAAAATTTTCAAAAATTTTCTGCAGTCATTCAAATTTTTGTAAAATGAAAAAAAATGAAGATTTGTAAAGAAAATCCTATAGGTTTTAATTTATATTGGAAAAAAATTGAATGAAAAATGAGCAATTTTTTCAAAGTAATAATAACAATACTATTTAAATAGTAAGTGAATAAAATAGTTTGCCTTTTTTGAAAAATTAATAGTTTTTATTATCGGGATTTTGAATAATTTTCGAAAGTTGTATAAATTTAGCTTGTACAGCATACATCTACTTAAAAAGGTACATTATTGTATAATATTAATTCGTTTAGTTTAGAGGCTCAAACTTACGAAATTATCGGATTAATAACGCATCATACATCCATTTTAAATTGGCAATAACTTTTGATTATTGTATTTCAATAATTATTGAAAACGGAAAACGACTCAAAGTCATGTTTAAGGAAGAAATTATAAAGCATTTTTTCATTAAAGATACTTAACAAGGATAACGTTATAACAATATAAATTTTTCATGATGTGGATATAGTGTGAGTGAAAAACTAAGAAAGTTTTGAATAAATTTTTTATTTCTAAAGAATTTCTAAAGAAAAAAAAAGAATAAAGAATCTCTATTAAGGGTGCACACGAGAGGATCATGTAAACTTCAGAATTTAGAACCTTATTTTTAGGCATTATCTTGGCTACCTATTTAGGCTCGAAAAGCAAAAAATATCAAAAAATACAACTTGACTCCATTATGACCCTTTCATGGAGGTAGTTTTTCTCCGCTAGTATTTTCCCTTTGAATCTCTTTACAATTTGAAATCAAATTCAAATCTCAGTAGAAGAAAGGAAGAATCGACTTACTACGGTTGTAATACGAATAAATACATATATTTAATTATTTTTATTTACATAATAATTGTTTGAAGCTCATATTCCATCAAATTTTTAAATAAAAACATTAAAATGTTGAAAATGTTCATATATTTTAATAGGGTTTTGGCACTTTATTGAGGAATTACTACATACATAGTCGAACTGAACTTGATATTTTGAAATTTAAATTATTTATCAAAATTAAAATTTAACTTGAAATTTATAATTATTTAGTCATATTTTGCATAATTCTAAGTAGATTTTGTAAAAAATCAAGAAAGAAAAATTTTAACGTGCTTTATTTTTTCTTTTTTATAATAATACATATTATTATATAATTAACATATTCATAATGTTTCACCCTTTCAAAAATATAATCCTCCTCCTCTCAAATAAACGTACATACGGGTGGCCTCTTTTTTCAAAAAATTAAAATTTGAAATTTTGGGCTCAAATATTAGAGATTTTTTCAACCTTCAACGATATATGTTGTCTATATCAGACCTCCTTTCTTTTTGATACTTGACATTGTTCCTAAATCTTAGCCGTTAAGGCTGTTCTGAAAATATTTTTTTTTCGAAAAAATTCGAAAAAAATTCTTAAAATTCAAAAATCCCTTAATTCCTGAGGATTTTGGGGAAAAGTTTTTACATGAACATGTGTATATTATATGAAGTATATTGATAAGGTAAAAATCAAATTTTATTGCATATTCATCGAGAAAATAAACTAACGAATCCCTCAAAATTGAGAGGGTAATCCTCCTCCTCTCAAATAAACGTACATACGGGTGCACCCTTAATACAATATAAAAAAAATATAATAAATATATAATAAAACACATGAATTACTGTTGCTTTTGCTTATCCTGATACTTTCTAACCAAATCTCTAAGTGGTCTATTCTGTTTTCCATTGTTAATCATCTTCAAAAGTCCTTCGACATTTATTCCATCGTGTTCTAAGAATAATTGGACTGTTTCGAAGTCGCATTTTCTAACAGATATCATAATTGGTCTCTCATTTCCTTTGCTAGCAAGGTTTGGATTCAATCTGCCACTGTCAAAAAGAACTTTACAAACATTTTTGGCATTGTTAGAATTGACAGCATAATGTAAAGGTGTCAAACCGTTATTATCGGTATCGTTTACATCAACATCATTTTTCTGGACTAATAACTCTGTAACAGCAACATTTCCACTTCTACAGGCGTGATGTAAAGGTGACATTCCATTATCATCTTTTTCTTTGTAATCAGCACCTTTTTCAATTGCCAAATTAATGAAATTCAAGTCTTGTTGGGTAGAAACGATGTGTATAATCTTGCGTCCTTCGTTATCTTTTGAGTTCACGTCACTTCTCTCTAAAACCGCTTTAAACAATTCAAAACTTAATCCGCCAGCTGACAAATGCAACATTGTCAAACCGTTGTAATTTTGAACGTCCAAATTTGTTCTTTTATCTTTTGCAAGAATTACGCATGTTTCATATTCTTCAGATTCGAAAGCACTCATTATCGGTGTCATTCCTTCTTCATCTATTCTGTTGACATCGATGTCTTTTCTCTCAAGAAGTAACTTCAAAATTCCTGTGTATCCGTTACATGCTGCATGGCCGATAGCTGTCAAACCGATATCGTCAACGGTTTCTATATCAAGTTTTTCTATTTGTAGGAGTCTCTTTGTTATTTCTTCGTTGTTGTTTTCGACGGCAAGCATCAGAGGACTCATTCCATCTTTGTCAACAGCATTTACATCAACATCACCTTTGGAAAGTATCATGTCAACGTTGGCAAGGATGCCTGTGGATACAGCAACATGTAATGGAGTACGGTTCTTCTTGTCTGATGAGGTTAATAGTAAATTCTCGTTTACATAGAAAAGTGACGTGTCAAAATTGTCAAATTTCAAAGCAGCATGGAGAATTGAACCGAAAATTGGAGAAATCTTGGTCTTGTCTTCATTAGTGTTTTGTAAAAGCCAGTCGAAGATTTCCCTCTGATGGAACATGACGGAAACAATAAGAGAACCATCGAAATTGAATTTGTTTTCTTTCAATTTTTTGACAACTTCGATTTTTCCTCCTGCGACAGCGTATTGAGCGTGTGTTGGTTCATTGAGCATCTCCTGGTGCTTAGGAACAATTGTAGTGAGGAAGAAATCGATGATTTGTGGAGATCCGCAGAAAAGAGCGTAATCAAAGATTGTTGGAAGGGAAGAGATCTGAACTGTAGGTTCGTATATGGTAAAAGATAGTTGTGAGTCTAGTCTGAAGTTAGGATTGATCAAACCAAGACGTAAAGCGCTGAGATCGTCAGCTCTGATCGAATAATTAACTCCGCCACGGATTCCGAACTCTTCTCTGTACTGCTTCATGAGAGCCCAGTCGTTTGATTTGACTCTGCTGAAGTTTGAAACCCATTTTGGAAGAGATTCTTGATATTGCTTTAATATTGTCTTAAATAAGTTTGAATTGTATTTTTCGAGGTCTGGACCTAAGAAAACGAAGAGGGCGAAGTTGTCATCGCTGTCAAAGAGTCCTTCTGTGAATGAGTCGATTAAGTTGTCAATTACGAGTGTTTTCGGTATTTCGAGGAGATCTACAATGTTGATGAAGAATATGACGTTTTCAGAAGATCGCCCTCCAAATGGTGAAGAGTTTGAACGTAAATTTCGAATAAGCATATCTAATCTTTGTTCATTACTAAATGGTTGTAGTATAAATTTGCCGAGAATTGTGATGTTGTTGAGATTTAATGGTCTGATATAGGAATATTGCAAGAGAAGTGACAAAATCTCATAGGCACCATCTTTTTTCTGGTAAATTGATGATTTTCTTATCCATTCGAAGGTTTCACCGATTGTTTCCGCTGTAAGAACATCTATTTTTACTTGAAGTTCTCGATATTCTTGAGCAGATTGCATTACACTTGATTTTTTTATCGTCCTTTGGACACAAACCAAAAAAATTTTTGCCCAAATCGAATTTACTCAAAATCAATGTGTTTAGTTTTAATTTACAATTCTCTTTATAAGGATCATTAGTTTTTATGATTTATTTTTCATCAACAAATTTTTTATAACAATTGTATTGAAAATAATCGTAAAAAATATGGAATTGCCTCCAGAGTGGGTTCTTAAAGAGTCTTTGAATCATCCTGGACGCTGTTATTACTACAATAAGGTTACAAACGAAACAACATGGATTAGACCTATTCCTTATCCTGGAAATAAGCCAAATCGTGCGAATGAATGGCCACCAATCATCTACGTCGCCCAAATCTACATTAAGCATGGTCCAATGGATGAGTCAAAAGAAAAAATCAAACGAATTTTCAGACAGATCGTTTTTGAAAATAAATCTTTTGAAGAAATGGTTCAACAAGAATCAGAACAATGCCCTGATATACAAACAGATCCTAACGGTGATGTTGGATGGATAGAATCAACAGATCCTCGTTTCACCAAAGAATACATCAAAGCGGCTTGGGATTTAAGAATTGGCGAAATGTCAACATACATTAATACAGAGCACGGTTATTTTATTATCCTTAGAAGAGGATAATTATTGTTTTTTATCAATATTAAATCTAAATTCAAGAAAAAGGCGTTGAAGAGATCGATAACTTATATACTAATCGTTAGAAATACAATACATGCTATTCTATTAAATCTTGTGTTTTTTTAAATTAAAAATAGTTGTATATACCAATTCAGCAATCAAATAAGCTATTATTATTGTGCATCGCAGTGAATTGTATTTTTGCATTTATAGGATAAGAATCCGGATAAGAGTTTGAGTAGATTTGCGCATATATTTGGTCTATTAGTTTCAAGGTCATCAGAATCTCAAATGCTTCTATTTCCACGATTTTTCAAAATATTAGAGATTCTTATAGCATATATGATGCAAATTGAGAAAATATTTATTTTAAATTTTGATTTTTTCAGAACTTATTACATATGAATTAAGGGTTTCGTTTTGCGAAAAAAACGTACAATACGCAATTTCGCTAAAAAAACATTTAGCTAGCAATTTCGACATTTGACTCCACTCAAGACGTCACTTTTTTAATTTTGCGGTATCATATTTTTGGAAAATCTTTATGAATATTATATTAAAAATCTCTTTAATATCTATATTTCATATTTTTATCGATTTTTCAAGTTTTTGCGAAAAGTATTCAATTATTTTTGCTATTTGGTCGGGTAAATGTCAGATTTGCGACATTTTCTGATATGATATTCAGATTCTACGTTGATAATAATGCTTATAGAATCCTCTTGCTATTGTGTCAAAATTGCGAAACCGATAGCAAAAATATCTCGCAATATCAAAATTGAGATATTGAGTAAATTATGCATTATAGAGATTAAAAATCTGATTTGTGAAAACATCTCATCAGTTTCTAGCTAATTCAAAAATCTTTACTATCTTATTCGATTAAAATGAAAAGGGAATAGTTTCATTATGCTTTAAATGACAGCCTTATAATATAATCATAGTTTGATAATGAAGATTTTATTTTGCAATAATATAAACGAAATTTTTTACCTTATGAACTTTTGATGGAAATATGCAAATTTAAAATAATAAAGAAAGCCGCGAGCGAAGCGATCGGCTTAGTTCGAAGATTTTGATTCAAATCTTTGCTGATCTGTAATTCGCGGAAGCCGCGAGCGAATCGAGCGGCTTAGGTCTAAGATTTTGATTCAAATCTTTGCTTATATTCCTTAAATTCTTTATGAAACTCGCAACAGTTCCATAAAAAATTTTAAATTCTAAACTGTCGAAATTACCGATCGGTAATCACACCCTTCACGGGTGTGTCACTTTTTACAAATGTGTCACTTTTAGCTAAAATTACCCCTACTCGTTTCTAGCTAATTCAAAAATCTTTACTATCTTATTCGATTAAAATGAAAAGGGAATAGTTTCATTATGCTTTAAATGACAGCCTTATAATATAATCATAGTTTTCGCTCAATATGCAGCATTTTTTTTCGAAATCTATGGTCAATATCCTAAATACTGATTGCTTTGCATTCATATCTCTTACATTTTCTATACCCACATCACTATTCATTGCTATTCCTATCTTTTTCATTTTTGTTTGTTTCTCATAATTTCTCAAAAAACATGATAACTTGATATTTGTAAATATCATACTTTATAACGTAAATAAGAACTTGACCTATTAAGAAAAGCAGTAATGAAAAGAAAATCTGAAATTCATAAAAACTACAAGTTTCTGATGACAATTAGCTTAATTAAACCAGGTACAAGATTATATAATTGTATTTTCTATCCAATTATCCATATAATATCTTATCCAGAAAAAATAACTTGATCAATACCAAATGATTTTTTAACTAGTAAATAAAGTATTTTCTTTACACACACATTGTATATCATAGTTTTTTTTTTGGTTTCGCAAAACATCCAAAAACAAATATGCTATAAAAGTGACAATTTTAGCAAAACGAAACCCTTATATGAATGTATTATATGGGAGATTATGAAAATTAATTTTCAACTCTGACAAATTTATTTCAATGAATGAAAAAGATTTTGATCATCAAATTGAGTTAGCAACTTCTTTCTTTGAGAATCCAGTAGTTCTTCACTGTGAAAAGGAAAGTTATTTTCAATATAATTATGAATTAACTCATTCCACAGCACTTGATGATGTAAAATCTGCAAAAAACAATGAAAATCATCCAATATTCGACCCGTGTGATATAAACCCAGCAAACTATTTCTTACGAGGAAATGAAATTACTGTCAACAGACCTCAACTCGAATTATTAACGACAGACGTTATCAAAAGTCATATAGGTCTATTGAAACCCTACGATTCCCAAAATGGTACTCGAAGGTGGATGATGTCCGGCAATCAACTTATCGCAATGATAAGTTTTGATGGAAAAGAATTTTATGTATACAATCCATTGACAGTTAATTCAAAATCTCGATACTTTCTCATCAAGGAAAACGATAATACTGTTAAGTTTACTATCAAATCTCTTCTTAACAAAATTAACGGCGCAATGATGCTTTTTTCGGATATTTACACAGATGAAAAGTGCAAAACATTCGAATGGTTCTTCAAGTCGATTGTTGTAACTGGCGGTTATCCACCAGTCCTCAAAAATACTTTTGGATTTTATTCATCTCTCTTCCAACATCCCCAATTTCTGTTTTTATTTGCTATAACCATTCCCGCCCAGTCCATTAAAATCGATATTATTGAAGCTTGGTACAGTTTCTCTCATGATTCTTTTCCAACTTTATTACCTTCGTTAATCATTACATTTTTATCAAATAACAACCCTACGCCGTCTAACTTACTTACGAAATCCCTAATTGGCCATGTAATTCAGTACGTTATTTCTAAAGATTTGAATGAATTTTTGCCAATCAAGAGCGCAAAGGCTAATCTTGCTGACCGTATGACAAAATATATACGTAGAGAATGGAGTGCTCAGTCCCGATTCATTTTCTACATTTTACTCCATATTTACAAAAAATCTAATTCAGAAAAATACCAAGCAGAGGCCATTTCCCAGTTATTCTTTGGTAAGTCACCAGACTCATCCATCCAGATGCTTATTGTGCGCTTCGTGACCATATATTCCGTATTTCCTGTTGATTATCAATTATCTATTGGTTGTGAACCGACATTACCACAAGCATCAACGGTAATAACTGCTGTATTCCAGTTCAAAGACGAGATGCTCAAGTCGGCAGAGTCAATGGACTTCAAGAAAGTCGTAGAAAACATTGAAAAAATTTACGAATCGTCTGATTACGTAATTTTAACGGAATTTGCTGAAGAAACAGACACAAGTGTAGCCAATAGAAGGAAATCAGTCATTATACAGCCAGAAATGCTGGAATCCGTTCAACCGAGAGCTGAATTTGCTCCTTCCTACAGATCTCAGAATCCTTCCAATCGTCCGAGGTCTGTCTCCCTTAGAGATTCATCGGAAGCACCAAGATATACATCACAGCACTCCCCGCAACGAAAAAGAACCAATTATTTTGTTTCTTCTGCAACAGATTTTTCTTATGATGAAGAAAAAAGTGACAATTCATCACCAAAAGACAGATTACCCAAGCCACCTAAAGAAGCGATCGAAGGACCCCTTAAAACACTTTCCGATGACGAGGGAACGAATTCTAGAGATAAAAATCAGAATTTCACTGATGATAAGAGCTCATCTAAGGTTTTGAATATAGAAACTGATAAGAATGGTAAGAAACAAAGTGGTACATTATCAGAAGATGAAGATTCCCATGAATACGTCCTTTCTTCTGAAGATGAACCAAAATTACATTCTGATCCTGTAGAAAACGTGATGAAAATCGATCACGAGATTAAGATTGAAATTAAACCACCAAGAGAAAGTGAAAATAGCCAAAATAATTCGAAATCATCTGATGAAAATGATGAAATTAAAACAATTAAGTCTGATGAATCATATGAAGATACTAAATCAAATGATGACAAATCACAAGATGAAAAATCTAAAAATGAAACAAAATCTGAAGAAAAAATTTCATCTCAAATTTCAAGTCAAGAAAATGACTTAAAAACAGCTAATAAATCTCCTGAGAAGAGTCCTAAATCAAGCAAAGACGATGAATCATCCGAAATTGAATCTATTGGTTCTCCAATGAAATTGAGAAAGAAATTGACAAAAGCTGATTATTTGGCATATTCCTCGAGTTCATCCGACTCAGATGAACCAGTTTTGAAGAAAGATGATGATTTTAGAAGTGATGCTTCAAATTTAACAACAAAATCTAAAGTATCAGTAGCAGAAACCCCTGATCCTGTATCACTGGATACAAATGATGATTCTCCTGCAATGCATACACTAAGTACTACTGATGAATAAAATTAATAAAATTTTGTTTTTTTGTATTGTATGAAAATAATAACAGTATTTTTTGATACAACTAATAGTCATTATATTTGTATTAATTTCATCATTTATTCTTTGTATGAATGGGCAGACCTACCCAATATGCCAAACAATGGAAGGCAAAGTTTATACAAGATATCAAAGATATGATCGATGAAACGAATAACCCCATAACCATATCTGATATGTTCAATATCTATAAAAAGAAATATGGTAAAAAAAAATACTCAATGGAGATGATTCAAAATCTATTGAAAACAGCTACAGAATCAGGAGAAATCTCGTATTTTGATATCAAACTACCTACAGATAAGCCTGTTGTAATTTATCCTGGCAGACATCCAGTAAATTCAACAATTTTTCTATATTTGACGAGTCAAGATTATGATAATGTAGTTGAAAAAGCAAAATCGGTTCTATATTCCTTAATCAAGGCAGCCCAAGGAGAAATTAATGAAAATTTACCTCAAACAAGCGAAAATACTGATAGCAACCCTAATGTAATAGAGAAACCTACCAAAGTAAAAGTACCTAGATCAATTTCTCAAGACAAAATTTTACAATTTGATTATTATTCGCAAAAAATGATTAGAGCGCAAATATTGCATTCGTATATTACCAACGCATACAAGTCAAATACTTTTTCGATATCGTCTCTGATCAATGATGCACCTTTAGATTTATTATTCAAAATTTGCAAAGTTAAAGCATTTCCTACGTCCATCCTCGAAGACCCTAGACTCAGATTCATACAGTTGAGATACTTTCCGCGTCAAATACAAGATTTAATGAAGGTTGACGAATTAAAAAAATCAATTGAGAAATTAGTCGAACTTTTACAACAATACGGTCTAGTTAACAAAATAAGGAACACATATAAATGTTCCAAATACTCCCAAATTGTTTTCAACGACAAAATTTCATCAAAATTAAATTTATTTGATAAAACAAATTTTGAATACTTTTGGCACTCCATTTCCTTATTAGATCTTATTGAAAACATCGATCCTTCCATGCAAATGGTCTGGCTTGAGAAATGGTCATTGTATCGAAAATTAGATTTTCCAGAATCACCTTTAACAACTCAGATCATCAAGAACTGTCATCCAAATAAAGAAAACATTACGCGATTGACAGGAATCGAGAGAATTTTCGTAAAACAAGAGTTACCAGAAAAAATTTCAAAAACTGATTTGAATTTTTTTGCAGAAAATGTTGATTTCATTGAAGATCCGAAATCTTTTCAACTAATCAACTTCAAAAAATCAATTGACATAAACAAAAATGATTTTTTGTCTGCTTTTTGTACAATTGTTGCCTTTTCTTCAGTAACATCTGGAGGAATACACGTAAGAAGTGCAATAGAATGGTCAAAAGTGACAGAAATGATGACTTCACTTTTTGACAAAACCGAAAGTGTCAATTTTTACATAAAATTGCATCAAAACAATTTATTTTTCAGCGAAGAATACGAAAACTTGTTTGTTGAGAGTGTTTCGTTTGCAATTTCAGCTGCTAAAGGAATTTTTGATGTTTTGCCGTTATCTGACAATAATATGACAGTTTCTGAGATTTACAAATACTTTACATTGTCAAATTTATTGACAAAAACAACTCTTGGAATTGGAGAAATAATTGAAGGTTTGAAAAGGAGATTTTTCACGAAAATGAGATATTACAATTCCAAAAATTGTCAAAGATTTTTATCTGAGTACAACTGGGACTACGCAAAAGATGGATTGATTTATCTGAAGCTCATCAATTTCATTACAAAAATCGGATCAAATTTCATTAGAACAAAAATTTTCCAACATGGAAATTTATTTCCCAAAAATTTTTTCTCTGAAATTTCAAAAATTGACAAATTGCATAGAGAATACAATATCTACCAATTGCCTTATTTTAGTCCTGATTCTACTGATTGTTTGTTTTTCAAACTCATATTGGAAAATTCAATTTTACCAACTTTGTCGTCAGAAGATTTTTCCAAAGAAAAAATCATTGATCATAATTCAAATTTGATTCATTTGAGAATACAGAAACTAAAACTACCTAAATTACAAGTTCAAGATGAATTAAATATACAAATTCCAAAGCAAATTTATGTCAAAAATGATGATATTTGTTTGACTCTTCAAGAAGATGTGAAAAGAATCATTAATTTATTTCAAAAACTTAAGAAAAATCATTTGATTGAAACTATTTTTGTATACAGTTATATATTATTTAGTCATGAAGAAGGAATTGATTTTGTGACATTGAAAGAATACACGAAAATATCAATTGATGATGATTATGTTTTAGTTTATTGTTTGAACTTTTTAATGAACTTTTCTTTTGTTTTTAGAATTAGTTCTAGCTCATGTTTGCCATGCTTCATTTCCAGCAGCTACTTAAAGAAAAAGAGTGCAAGGATAGGACATATTTATACTAGAATCGATGGCCAAACATCATTGAATTTGTCAAATGAATTGACAATTGAAGTTTTTGACAAAATTTTCAAAAACAATTCAATTGAATTTCTTGATTTATTGGAACTTGTTCCACATATTTCGGCAAGTGATTTGTTAGTAATTTTGAATGCATTGATATGCGATGAAGTAATTAAATGTGTGGAAATGAATATTGATGTGAATTTGACTGAAAGTAACTATAATTGTCACTTTTTATCTGATGATATTTTGTTTTGTTTTTATATCTGGCAATATCAAAGTGACCCAACTATAAATAGGCCGTATAGATACTATTCAGTGACAAATAACGAATTCTTAGATCTATCATTTCTTTCTGAATAGATTGTTATTCAATTTAAATTTATTTGTTTTGTATTTATATTAGATTTTTTGTTACATTAAAAATATTGTTTATAATTCAATGATTATTTTTACTATCAGATGATAATGACCTTTGTTTAAGGGTGCACTTATGCCAGTATGGCTCTGTCTGCAAGTATGTTGCTTAAGGTTAATTTTCAAATACACTTCACACACGATGTCAAAAATTTGAATTAAAGTCAAATGGAAGTTGGCCTGCCCAAAACTTTAATATCTTGAATATTTCCATGGAAAATTAGCATAAATATGAATGGACCTTTAAATGGAGAAGGTATTATCACAAAACAGAAACCAATTCACAAAAAAATACCTGACGATACGAACAGTTTGATCGGAGTATTTCCTAGGAAAAACAAAAAGCCAAATTAAGGCAATATTTCAGACCATTCCAATCCATTGCATCGTAATCACCAGCTTTCAAATAAAGTATTTTCTTTTAATTCTATAACTCCCACCGTATACTTGATTTTATAATTATTCCATTCTTTTATTTTGGAAAAATAAAATTCTATTCAAAAATTTGCTAGAAAAAATTCAAAAAAAAAATTAATGGGAAGCACTATGCAAGCCAACCTCCATGATGAGATTATGAAGCAGTTTGGAGATTATGACAATGTTTACAGTCAACTTTACAGGCTAAAATCATTCGATGAGGAAATAATTGACGAATTATTTCAAGATATTAATAAAATTTTGATCGTTACAAAAATAGATCTTCCTGTTCAATTACTATCCAAAATCAGTATTATGGCAGCATATAATAATCGATATTTACGATCCTATTGGACACTTTTCAAAAAAATTTATTCAAAATATAATCCAAAACCAGCTAACTTCTTAAGTTCAATATTTAAATATCTATTTTATAGAGAATACAACAAATATTGGGATGAAGAATCCAAAGAAGCTGTTGAGAGATATCAATCCGATGAATTTTCTTCTTTTCTTATTGGAGATGATTTGTATCATTATACAATTTATCATGCAATTGTAAATGATGACCTAAATATACTCATTCCTATTACAGAAGAGGATTATTTCGATAAAGATCAAATGATAACGACAGGTTTCTTTCCTTTCAGTTCTTGTGGATATTTTTTACTCGAATTATGTAGTTATTATGGTTCAGTCAATTGTTTTAAGTTTTTCTTAACAAAATTCAACCCAAGAATCACTCAAAAATGTCTTCAATTTTCATTTTTAGGTGGGAATAAAGAAATAATTTCCGAATGTTTAAAAAATAAACAGCCAGATAAGGAAACAATGAAAAGCGCAATTATTTCACATAATGTTGATTTTGTTACTTATTTGATGAATGAACACAAGTTAAATATTGACGTAGAATATTGTTGCAAATTCAATAACCTTCAAGCATTTGCAGTTTATTTAGACGAATCAGAAGATATTAATATTAATAATTGTTTTATTTATTCTCCTTGGTTTGGCATACCTGATCTTTGCGTATACTTAATAGAACATGGAGCAGATGTTAATACAAAAGATGGTCGTAAAAATAATGCATTCTTTAAGGCACAAGATCCTTTAACTATTCAAACAATGGAAGTTTTACTAAATAATGGAATTGATTATAAAGCTGTTGATTGGAGAGGACAAACAATACTTCATGTATTTGTAGCCCGTAATATGTATGAACAAGCTAAACTTCTTCTAGAAAAATGTCAAGATATTAATGTTAATGCAGTAGATAAATACAAAATAACGCCACTTCTTGCATCAGCAGCAAGAGGTTCGCCGGAAATTATTGAACTTTTACTATCACATGGTGCAAATGTAAATGCCCAAGATGTTAGTGGAGAAACAGCTCTTGAAAAAGCTATGAGCACGAGTAATCTTGAAGTTATAAAACTTCTCATTAGTCATGGCGCTTATGTAAATATTCAGGATGATTATGGGAAAACTGCACTTCAAATTGCAGCGCAAAAAAATTGCAAAGAAGTCATAGAATTTTTAACTTCACAAGGTATAAATTTTAATGAATAGAATAATAAAATATGCTAATAAAACTTAATAAGGTTGATAAAAAATTGATGTTTTTTAAAAAACCGCCGTTTGAGAGGAAAATTGAGAACCTCGATATATACTTTTTGACATTGTCAAAAACTTTGAAAGGACCAAAATTTTTTTAGTGTCAGAAAGTTTACAAATGTATACTTTCTGACGAACAGACCCTCAGAAAGTACTCAAACTGTGGTTTTTAATTTCCGTACTTTTTTTTGGCGACCTTATATCAAAACAATTTGTTAGTTGTGTAGTAAGTTTCTTATTTAGTCTTGAATTGTTGATATGCTAATAACTTTTTAATTCAATATTTAGAATTAATGTTAACATCAATTCAATAGTTTATCTATCAAAACAATTGGCCGGTTGTGTAGTGAACTTCTCATTTATTATTGAATAAATAATAAATATGTATAAAAAATTAACAAAAAATTAACATTCGTTATGCAGTAAACAATTAATTTTGATACAAAAATAAAAATTAATAGCGATTTTGTGCCTTTAAAGGGTGTACATTAATTTGCACCGCGTGAAATAAGAAGTTTGGCCATTGCTGAATAATTATTTTCTTTTGCATAATGAAGAGCTGTTTTTCCAAATTTATCTTTTTCATTAATATTTACTCCATGTGAAATAAGTAATTTGGCTACTTCATCACTATTATATTCTGCTGCATGGTGTAGAGCTGTTCGTCCAGAATTGTCTTTTTCATTAATATTTGCCCCATGTGAAAGAAGAAGCTTGACGATTTCTTTTTGGTAAGTACGGTTTGCGGCAATATGGTGGGCAGTTTCCCCTTCTTTATTCTTTTCCTTGATATTTGCACCATGTGAAAGAAGATATTCAACTATTTCTATAAATTTTTTGCTGGCTGCAATATGAAGAGCGGTGTTGCCTTTATTATTTTTTTCATTAATATTTGCACCATGTGAAATAAGAAGTTCGACTGTTGCTTTTATATTATATATTGTTGCAATATGAAGAGCAGTTTGGCCTTTATTATTTTTTTCATTAATATTTGCACCATGTGAAATAAGTAGCTCTGTTGTTTCTTGGCCATTATTTCTTGCTGCGTCATGAAGAGGTGTTTCTCCGTATTTATCTTTTTCATTGATATTTGCACCATGTGAAATAAGAAGTTTAGCGATTTCTTTATTATTTTTCCATGTTGCATTATGAAGAGTGGTATATCCATCTTCATCTTTATCATTGATTTTTGCTCCATGTGAAAGAAGGAGTTCAGCGATTTCTTTACGATCATCATATGCTGCTTTATGAAGAGTGGTTTGGCCCTTATTATCTTTTTCATTGATATTTGCACCATGTGAAATAAGAAGTTCTGCTGTTTCTATACTAGAAAAATATGTTTTCCAATGAAGAGGCGTGTTTCCGTCTTTATCTTTATCATTGATTTTTGCTCCATGTGAAAGAAGGAGTTCAGCGATTTCTTTTCTATTATCATGTGCTGCTTTATGAAGAGTGGTTTGACCTTTATTATCTTTTTCATTGATATTTGCACCATGTGAAATAAGAAGTTCTGCTGTTTCTATACTAGAAAAATATGTTTTCCAATGAAGAGGCGTGTTTCCGTCTTTATCTTTATCATTGATTTTTGCTCCATGTGAAAGAAGGAGTTCAGCGATTTCTTTTCTATTATCATGTGCTGCTTTATGAAGAGTGGTTTGACCTTTATTATCTTTTTCATTGATATTTGCACCATGTGAAATAAGAAGTTCTGCTATTTCTTTACTAGAAAGATATGTTGTCCAATGAAGAGGTGTGTTTCCGTCTTTATCTTTATCATTGATTTTTGCACCTCGTGAAAAAAGAAGTTGGGCGAATTCTTCACTATTATATTTTGCTGCATAATGAAGAGTTGTTAGTCCATCGTTATCTCTTTCATTAATTTTTGCACCATGTGAAAGAAGAAGATCAGCTATTTCATTAATATTATATTCTGCTGCATAATGAAGAACGGTTTTTCCATCTTCATCTTTATTATTAATTTTTGCACCATGTGAAAGGAAATATTCCGCAAGTGATTGGATTCCAAGCATTCCTGAGTAAGCAAGACACTTGTTAGCATCATTTGTTTGATCGAAATAAACTAAAAATGAATCGAGATTTTTGAAAATTCCGCAATAATATAAATCAATCTCTAAATCATATTCATTCATCAAAAATGTAACAAAATCAATGTTGTGTGAAATAATTGCATATTGCATGCATTTTTCATTTGGTGTTTGATACTTCAAACATTCACTCATGATCTCTTTGTTTCTTCCCAAAAATGAAAATTTGAGGCATTTTGGAGTTATTTCTGGGTGAAATTTGGATTGTAAAAACTTGAAACAATCAACTGCTCCGTGGTAACAACATAATTCAAGTAATGAATATCCTTTGTAAGAAATAGGATATAAATTGCTCTTGAGCTTCTGATCTTTATCAAATCCTTCTCGTTCAGTGAATGAGATGAATGATTGTAAGTCATTATACATAATCGCTCTGTAAATTGTATCTTCTGAATGAATTTCCAAATTTTCTGAGTTAATTGTTTCAAAATCATAAGATTTGTCTAATTTAATTCCATATTCTTTGTAAAACAGGAAGATTGAAATAATATGAGCATTTGAGACCTCTCCCACATGATAATCATCAGATATGAGTTTGGCAAGAGATAAATATGACTTTATATAGCGATTATTGAACCGGATGATATTTAAAATGTCTCTTACAATAAGTTCTGGGCGATGTTTCTTTGAATCAATCAGTTCTGTTTTGATCATTTTGTAAATCTTGTTTAATTCTTCATCGTTTTCCGTTTTCAACTGATACAACGCAATATATTGGTCGATGTAGTATTTATAGATACTTCGCAGTTGACTGAATCGGCTTGAATTTTTATTGTGGTTTGACATTTAAAAAATTTGAAAGACTAATTTATGCGTTTTACTATATTAAACATCTTTGTTATTCATTGGGGATAAAATTGAAAACGATGACCTCAAATATTTCTGAAAAAATTAAATAATATTTTTATCTGTTGTTGATATAAACTCATTTTCATTATTTCCATCTCCACATCTTATACGGTTCAAGAAAATTGAGAGAATCTCACTAAAATAAATTGAATTCAGGGAGTAATTTGTGAAATTTTGTTTATTTATAATATTTGTTATTGTTTCAATGGTGAGTTAACTTAATTATTATATTCAAGAACCTCAGTTTGATAATATTATCAAATATAAAAAGATTTTCATAATAGCTTGCTCAATCAAAAATTAAGGGGAAAAAATAGAATTATAAAAATATCGAAGTCATTGATTCACCGATTCCATGAAGATGAATAAGCTTCGAAATGATTTTATTAAGATTTTCAATGTTATTTCCAAATAGACAGAGTTCTGTAGAATAAAGATGAAGTTCAATTGAAATGTCTTTATTTGGTCCAATTGAAACTTGTTGCCATTCTGGAAATAATTTTTCTTGTGTATCAATATATGAATTAGAAACTGTAATTGTATATCCTGAACCTGCAATTCCAAACAAATAACAATCATTCCATTTGTTACTTGCAATGAAACAGTTTTCAAATGTAGCAGAACAACTATCACAATGAAACATTCCAGGATAATCACTATCATCTGCAGAAACAGTGTTGTTTGTGAAAACAATGCTGTTATATGTTGCTGGTTTGGATCCTACACAGCAAATTCTGGATGTTGCATGGTTTTCATCAATATTCGAATATTTGATTGAAATAGTGCCTTCATTATATCCTATCCAAAATGCTGCATTGTATGCACAATAGTTTCTTGTGATATTGTTTTGGAAAAATGAATTATTGCCATTTCTTAAATCAATTGTTTGATATCCGTCTAAATTTCCTTGATTACTATATGTGATAGAAGAATCTTGGATTTCATTGATATTAGTAGAAGCATTTGAAACTTTAATAAAACAGAACTTTCCAAAGTCGGTAGATTTGGATCCAAAACTACAAACTTTTCGAATGGAACTTTGGCCTTGATTGATGTAGATGGACCCACCTTTATCGTTACGATATGAGTTTTCGAATGAATTTGATGAAATAAGAGACTTAACATCGGCAGAATTAAGCTTGATAACACCGTCGTCGCCAAGGTTACTGAAATAGACTTCACGGACATAAAAGTTGCCTGTGTAACCTATGTATGTTTGATTTTTATTGTAGATTTCAGAACTAAACGTAGTTTTGTAGACTTCTTCCCATTCATTCTTCGTGAAATGGAGCAAATTCGAGATATGTGATGCTCTTTTTCTATCATGTTACTCCGATTGAAATAAATATTTGATAAAAGAGAGATTTTGAAAGTTTGAAACTTTTATAAAAATAATAAATTTTTTGGGGAATAAATAATTTTTATTGGGTCCAAAATTTTACAAAATTTTCATAATTCTCTCTGAGTCACAAGAATAGTATTAAACTTAATCACTATTTCATTTCTATAGTATCACTGTATCTGTCCATCTTTCAATAATCAGAAATCGTTTAAACAATGAATTTTCATCGAAAGAATACAAACATTGACAAAGCCACATCTGATTTTTACAAACTATTATTACATGACTAAGCTTATCAATTTTGAATATATAAAAAGCAGTCAACCTGTTTAAAAAACTTCGAAAATTAAGTATAAAAGATTCTTTTCTTCAAGTTAAAGGCATTTTGTCATTAGGTTCTCAGTATTATAATGCGTGTATCTCAATTGTAACACACTGCATAGATAATCAAATATATTCACCAGTAATTTTCGAGTTTTTAATAAACCTGTTCAACAGTTCATCAGATCTTGAATTAAAAGTCAATACATCGAGCACATTATCCGATATTTTAATCAAAACAAAAATTTGTGACGAAAACTTAACAACTTTTTACAAAGAGTGCTTACAACAAGAAATAATAATGAAACCCTTCCAATATTGAACGCATTATTACCATGTACAATTACTTTGCATGTTTAAATGAGACTCTTTCAACCTTTTACAGAATCACTTTTCTTTCGTTGCCTAAATGTGTCCTCTTCCTCATATCGAATACAACTGCGTTACACTTTCTTCATTCTCACAACATTTGGCTTTAGAATTAAAGTGTTTACTTTTCTTGAAGACTTTCTCAGTCAGAACTACTAATAATAAGAATAAGAATATCTTTATCAATAATTTACAGATTGTTACTTCATCATTGATTCCGAAGTTCATGTCCTTTCATGCATCAGCCACTGTTTACTTGATTACGACAAAATCGAAACATTTTCTCATTATTTTATTTCATACATTGAATTCATTAACTACGAAGATTCTATTTGTTCATTATTTGTTAACATTTTAATCAATTATTCCTTTGTTTCAAACATCAGTTTATGTTTTCAAAGAGATTTATTTTTCATAGTTACATTAAATATTCATCACTTTTCATTCTTACTTTCATCCTTAGTCATTACAACCAATATGTTTTTTGACTGTTCTATTCCACAATCTAACGAATTTTCTCTTTCTCAGTAGTTCAAGTACTTGATTGAGTACGAGTCCGATTTTTCACCAACTATTGTTTCAGAGTCACTTGACTACGATTACTCATTCATTTTTTATTTTAATTTTTTTTACACACTTTCACATATTGAACTTTTCTTTCGAGATTCTACTATTTTATCGTTATTTCTATGATCAACGTTGTTTGTGACAACATCAACAACGAATTCATTACCGACATTCTTTTCCTTCTTGTCAAACTTTCTCCACATAGTTTTGTAGATGTTTTAGATTATTTTTTTTATCTACACTTGTTTGTCTTTTAAAACAATTTTACATAAATCACACATTGTATTGTATCATTTTTTCATGTTTTGTATCATTGTCTAAATTTCCATAATTCCACAGTTTTGTTGTTACCTAGTTTGTCCAGTTGTTTTTAGTCTTCTTTCAGACTCTACATCAGTCTTCTGTGGTATTGACATTTTTGTTTCATTACTTACAAACAAGAACTCACTTGATCAACTTGAAAACATCAAAGAATGTGTTTCATCTATTTCAACATTTTCTTCAGTGCACTTGAAATTATCGAACTTGACAAGTATCTTTGTGAGAATTTCTAAGCTCATTTTTCTTCTCTAAATTTAGTTGTATCGACGAAGATTATGATACATTGATCTACTTTTTTCAGTCGTTTTTGTTCCGTTTTAGTTGTTTTTATGCAGCAATGGCATCTTCAACATTCTTTCAGAACGTCTTCATCGTGAACATTCTAACATCCTTTTACAAATTCCAAGTTGTCTTTTCTCAGTTCTCTCTTTATCTCTCTGAACGACAGAGACTCAGTTTTATCTCATCTTTCAAGTCTTATTCCAGATCTTTTGAATCTTTTCAACGACAAATCTATATCATCTAACTTCCATAATATGAGATGTTGCTTTGAACGCTCATGTCAACTATATTATTATTATCCATTTGTGCAATGATATGATCAGATTATCCATATAATTCAATCAAAAATTAATGAAAAAAAAATAGAATTAAAATATTAGCGAAGTCATTGATTCACCTATTGTTTTAAGATGAATAAGCTTCGAAATGATTTTATTAAGATTTTCAATTTTATTTCCAAATAGACAGAGTTCTGTCGAATGAAGATGAAGTTCAATTGAAATGTCTTTATTTGGTCCAATTGAAACTTGTTGACCTTCTCGAAATAATTTTTCTTGTGTATCAATATATGAATTAGAGACTGTAATTGTATATCCAAAATCATTAATATCATAAATTCCAAACAAATAACATCCATTTCGTTTGTTAGTTGCAATGAAACAGTTTTCAAATGTAGCAGAACAACTATCACAAAGAAACATTTCAGTATAATCATCATCTTCAGAAACAGTGTTGTTTGTGAAAACAATGCTGTTATATGTTGCTGGTTTGGATCCTACACAGCAAATTCTGGATGTTGCATGGTTTTCATCAATATTCGAATATTTGATTGAAATAGTGCCTTTGCCATCTCCTATTCCAAATGCTGTATTATATTTGCAATAGTTTCTTGTGATATTGTTTTGGAAAAATGAATTATTGCCATATTGTAAAACAATTGTACTATATCCGACTAATTTTCCTTGATTACTATATGTTATAGACGAATCTTGGATTTCATTGATATTAGTAGAAGCATTTGAAACTTTAATAAAACAGAACTTTCCAAAGTCGGTAGATTTGGATCCAAAACTACAAACTTTTCGAATGGAACTTTGGCCTTGATTGATGTAGATGGACCCACCTTTATCGTTACGATATGAGTTTTCGAATGAATTTGATGAAATAAGAGACTTAACATCGGCAGAATTAAGCTTGATAACACCGTCGTCGCCAAGGTTACTGAAATAGACTTCATGGACATAAAAGTTGCCTGTGTAACCTATGTAAGTTTGATTTTTATTGTAGATTTCAGAACTAAACGTAGTTTTGTAGACTTCTTCCCATTCATTCTTCGTGAAATGGAGCAAATTCGAGATATGTGATGCTCTTTTTCTATCATGTTACTCCGATTGAAATAAATATTTGATAAAAGAGAGATTTTGAAAGTTTGAAACTTTTATAAAAATAATAAATTTTGGGGGAATAAATAATTTTTATTGGGTCCAAAATTTTACAAAATTTTCATAATTCTCTCTGAGTCACAAGAATAGTATTAAACTTAATCACTATTTCATTTCTATAGTATCGTTACATCTGTATATCTTTTAATAATCAGAAATCGTTTAAACAATGAATTTTCATCGAAAGAATACAAATAACGTTTCCAAATTGGGAGGGTTCAAATTATCTGACGGGTTCAAATTGGGTTTTGAGGGAATTTGGAAATTCCATCGTACTCATTTGTGAGAATCGG